CAAGTGTAGTCCCCAGTGGCTGCTGTCTGCAGTTCTCCTGACCCACCCAGTCCTTGCCCAGATCTACACAAACCATGTTCACCGTCCTGCTCTCAGACATGCAGAGAAAGACTCAGCCTTTAGAAGATAGGAACTGAGGGCCTGATGACATTGGTGACTTACTGAGGTAGGGAGACCAGGGAACTAGAATTGGTCATTTTCCCTGTCTCCATACCCCCCTGCCTCTTCCTAGGAGTCTGGTCTGGGAATCACTCCACAACCAAAGGAGCTCAGACTATGACACTTTTCACCTGTTACCTCCTCAGAATAATAATAGTTCACAATATTTGTTTCTTAATAATCGTTCAGGAGTGCTACCAATGCCCCATGCTAAACTGTCTGTGCACGCTATCAAAGGTAGTCTTCACAATATTCCTCCTTGGTAACTATTATATCCTCCCATTTTAAAGATGAGGAAACTGAGGCTCACAGAGGTTAAGTGACTTGCCCCAAGTCCCATAGCTAGTAGTGATAAAGCTAAAGCCATAGCCCATCAAACCCAGGTCTGTTTGCTACCTCAGCCCATACTCAAAATTATTGTTGGAATGCTTGCTTCAGCAGCACATATACTAAAATAGGAACAATACAAAGAAGATTAGCATGGTCCCTGAACAAGGATGACACACAAATTCATGAAGTGTTCCCTATTAAAAAAAAAAAAATTAAGCCGGGCACCAGTGGCTCATGCTTGTAATCCTAGCTACTCAGAAGGCAGAGATCAGAAGGATCGCAGTTCAAAACCAACCCTGGGCAAACAGTTCGAGAGAACCCATCTCAAAAAAACTCTTCACAAAAAAGGGCTGGTGGAGTGGCTCAAGGTGAAAGCCCTGAGTTCAAGCCCCAGTACCACAAAAAAAAGAAAAAAGAAAAAAAAATTATTGTTGGATCTGCTGGATCTGGCTCATTAAGAATCTAGCTGGAAGGGCTGGTGGAGTGGCTCAAGTGGTAGAGAGCCTGCCTAGCAAGTGTGAAGCCCTAAATTCAAACTCCAGCACTGCAAAAAAAAAAAAAAGAGAGAGAGAGAGAGAGAATCTAGTTGGAAGCCAGGTATGGTGGTACTTACCTGTAATCCCAGCTACTCAGGTGGCAAAGGCAGGAAGAGTGCAATTTTTAGGCCAGCTCTGGCAAAGTTAGCAAGACCCAATCTCAAAAATCAAAATAAAAGCAAAAGGGCAGGGGGTATAGCATAAGTGGTAGAGTGCTTGCTCTGGGTTCAATCCCCAGGGGGAAAAAAAAAGTCCAGCCAGGACTCAGATAGTCTGGACCTCATCCTAAATTAGTGGGCAACACCTACCACTAGCAATAATACTCATTGAACTCTTCCCCGACACCAAGCCCTGTGCCAGGTGCTTTATTCTATGGACTCATTTAATCCTCCCCAAACCCTGATAGACAGAGGAGATAAGCCATTTTTTGGACGAGGGTACAAAGGCTCACAAAAGCCAAGTAACTGGTGCTAAGGGAACATGATCCAGAATAGGCAGAACTGGGGTTCTACCCCGCCCAGGCCTGGCCCTGAAACCCTTGTTCTATGGATTTCACTGTGTTGCCCTTGCCAGAGATTGTGACATGGGACTGGGCACTCCTGGAGTACCTGGCCACTCCAAGTAGCCTGGGGGCCAGCCAGCAGCATTGGCCTCACCTGGGCTCGTTAGCTATAGAAATCCAAGTCTTGGCCTAGACCTGCAGATTCAAAATTAAATCTTATCAAGACCTCAGGTGACTGTCAGGCTTGGCTCAGTTTAGGAAACTTCACTCAGTTCCCCCAGAGGCCTGAGACAAAGAAGTAGGGGACAGGAGGTGTGGGCTTTGACCTGAGGTCAGAAGAGGTGCTGGGTGGGTCTCCCACTTATCACCTCTCTTTGAGATTAGCCCATGCTTCTTTGGAGACGTCAATGCACATGGGCCTTAACAAGTGGGAGTCAATGCACATGTCCCCTCTTGGGCTCGTCCTTCCGGAGCTATGGCACAGTCTCCCAGGCCGCCCAGCTTTAGCCCACACCTGAGGCTAGGGAGAATCCCCAGACCCCCCTAGAAAGTCAAAACAGAGCAAGAAGCACTTGGCTCCAACAGTTGCACTGCCTGATAGATTTCCCTGGGGGGGCTCCCTAAATGAATGCCAGTGAGGGAGAAAGCTGGGCCTGTGACAGAATCCGGCAGTTTGCTTTTGCTGGAGATTAACCTCTGTGGGTAATCAAGATTGCAGTTAAAGGCTTTGTCTGTGAAACTGCCTTCAAATGAAGGAGTTACTGGCTTCGGTTACTGAGTGACTTCTGTGTGCCAGGCAGTGTGGAATGTGCTGATCCTCACGATCCTCCCACGAGGTAGATTTTATGTATCTCGATGTCACAGGCCAGGAGACTGGCCAAAAGGAACATGAACTTATCCAGTTCTCATTGTTAAGAGACCTGGATAAGTTCAATTTTTAGCCCAGAGCTATTAGCAAGACAGAGAATCCAGGAATTCTGGGAGAATGAGAGTCGAGGACCCTGAGCTGCTGCACCTTATAAAAAAGGAAATACTTGAAACTGAAGCTCCAAGGAGCAACCTGTGCTGTAGTACATCCTGGTCAAGCCACCATTCAAGGACAGCAAGGAGGGCAAGGAAAGGAGTGCCCTCTAGCTCAGGGCTCTGAAGACCCAGCAGACCTGCCCATGTGCCTAGCTGGGCTGGCCCATTAGGGGAATCCTGTGTCCCTCTGTGAGCAGCCTGAGCATGCCCCTCCCTCCCCATCAGCTCCTGTGGAGCAGCCAGGAAAAGCAGCGGGCTCTGGAGGGGCTCCTCACACCTTTTCAGAACGCCACTCTTCCTTGTCACACAACATCTGCAGTGCCAGCAGGCAAATGGGCAGAGAGTGATTACCCAAGGAGGAAACCCAGCAGCTCAAAAGCTTTCTAGGGACATCAGCCTGTGAAGTGAGAAAACAGATCCAGCCACACTTGACATCCATGTATGTCCCCTGGGGCCACAGCCTTGTGAGAAGAGAGAGGACACATCAGATTGCTAGTGCTTAGAGGCAAACCTCCATCCCTCTCCAGGACCCCAGGGGATTAGGCTCAATTCCTCACACTGCTAGAGATGAGGAGACCAAACATCTTGAAGAAATTAACATTTATAGAAAAGCACATTCACAGGTTGGGAATATAGCTCACTGGTGAACGCTTGCCTAGGATGCTCAATCACCATAAAAAAAAAAAAAGAAAGAAAAGAAAAGAGAAGAAAAAGAAAAACATTTACTATTAATTTTCCCCTGGGGTTTACCTCCCAGGATGCTAGGCAGGTGACAAAAAGACTCAGCCATCCTCCATCCCTCAGCACTGAAGCAGACCATGGAGGGCTTAGGGGGAGAGGGGATATCTCCCTGAGAAGTCTCATTGCTCCCATCCTCAAGTCCTCCTCTGGCCCCCAACCTCCATCCACGAGTGTCTTCTCATACCCCGCCATCTGCTCAGAGGCTGCACCAGCCTCCTCTGCACTGCTGGGACGCCTGGGGACGGGGTGGCTGAGCCAGAAGTGATTCCATCTCAAAGTCCAGGGCTGCCTCCCAGCGAGCTCCATATGGGGGCCTGGATCAGCCTTCCTTAGAACAAAGGGGCATCTTCAACCCAGCAAGAGGGCTCCTGCCTGGAACAATTCATCACTCACCAGCCGTTCAGAACAACTGTGTGAATGCCCTCAGAGCCAGGAAGAAACTTGTCAGTGTTTGCAGGGAAAGAGGGAGCGCACCATAGGAGTTAAGTAGGAGGGCGTAGGGTTCAGGCTGCCTAGACTGCAGTTCTGTTTCTTCTGCTTCCCAGAATGTCACAGAACTGTCCCCCCACTCCCCAACCAAGGCTCAGTTTTCTTATCTGTAAAGAGGGGATACTGACTCCTGTCTCCCAGGGGCACTGTGATGGTTCATTGAGCTAATTCACATCAGTAATAATGCAGCAAGTACTTAATAAGTGTTAGCTAGAATTATTAGCAACAAAAGTCAAAGCAGCCTTTTATAGGGACAGCCTCGGCCTCCTCCGTGAAGTGTAGCAATAGGGATGGTGAACATTTTTCAATTGCTAAAACTCTTGCCCTTTCTCAACCATGACCCCCAAGGCCTCCTAAACTTGCCACTTCCCCAAAATACATGCATGATTTTGGTCTATGCCACATACTTCCAGTGTGCACTGGTTAAACAACAATGATAATAACAGAGTTCTCAGCACAGAGCAGTTAAAGCACAGCCATCATTTTCATCACCACAATTGATAGTCCATCAGCATCAGCAAAGTACAATTCTAGAGTCGAAATACTGCCTGGCCTTTTCTCTCTTAGTCAAAAAGAAGAATACATTAGCATGAAGAGGGAGATCATCACTGAGATAACCCTGAAATTACCCTACTTATTTTTTGCTGTGCTGGGGATCGAACCCAGGGCTCCATGCTCTTGCTAGGCAAATGCTCTACCACTGAGCTACATGCCCTGCCCCTACCATGTATTTTTAAAGCAAACTTGTAGACAAGCTTCAGAACTCCATTACTGGTAGAGTGAGGTCTTATCCTACTCCAAAGACTTGAAAGTCAGCATATAATGAAAAATTGCATATAGTCCAAATGATCCTTAAATATTTCACGAAATTAGGCAATTATCTCTTTAAACAAAAGAACCGCATTCAATCGACTGGGATGTTTGCAGTATGACAGGCATTTGAGACTGAGACAAGCTGGTGACTTCTTCAGTGAGGCCCTAACCCCATACCACAAGTGTTTGGCTACATTCTTGTCAATTCACATTCCAATCAATTAAACACGCACATGATACAATTCTACCACCCAAGGTCACTGCCATGCAGCTCTCAACTGACCCAAGCTGAGAACTTAGTTCTCCAGAGCTGTATGAGATGGGCCTGCTCTCCTGCCCCCAGTCTCTAGGCTGACCCGGTCACTGGTCTAGATTATACAAAACGAAACCAAGGGATGTTCACTTACTTGCAGCTTGGATGCGAGCTTTCCGGCTGACCACCAGACCAAAGCGGTTCTGAGCCACACATTCATAGTCACCCTCATCTGAAGGGCTGCCTCCCCACTCCAACCTGAAGTGACGGATCAGCAAGGACCCATTGGCCAGCAGGGTGGAGTGGGTGCTCTCTGGCAGTTCCACTCCATTCTTCCTCCAGGTGACTCTCACTGGAGGGGTCCCCTCCACTTTGCAGCCCAGCACTATGGGCTGCCCAGGGACCACAATGTCATCGCTAGGCTCCACAGCAAATGCCAGTTCAGCAGAGAGGCCCAGACCTGCATCAGAGAAGGTGAGATGGGAGGAAAGATGTTAGTGTGGAGTGTGGAGTGTGCACCCAGGGTCTACATACCCCATACCCTAACCCTGTGTTTCTGTGATATTAATAGGAATCCCTATTACATATATAAAACCTTAAGCATTACAAAAAGCCATCCCATGCAGTATTTCACTTGATGAATATCATTTGTATCATTGCAGCAGCTGCCACTTCTGTGGTCACTCTGGATAAGCACTAAAGCTTTCAGTGTGTGACCTTAGGTAAAGTATTCAAACTGTCCTGGCTTCCCACTCCTCATCTGTTTAAATCAAGGAACAACAATTTGACTTGTGTCCTAGGGTTGTTTGACATACTTAGCAAACTCAAAGGCACTAGGCAAAGTTAAAAGTTCTTTTAACAAAAATACAAAATGAGATCATAATAACTCATGCTTCCTTTTGGGGCCTGATGTCTGGCAGGGAGCAGAAAGTGTGGGCCCAGGAGCCAGGGTGCAGGCTGTGCTGTGGCCCTTGGTTGTACTGTGTCCTGTTCTTCTACATCCACCTCTTGGCCCCCAATGGTCCGGATGCTGGGCTCTTGGCCCTTATTCCAGGGAGACATGAGGAGGAGCAAACACCAAAGTAAGATTTCCCAAAGCTCAGCAGGAAGGGGACCTAGAACCTTTACTCTCTGCCAGCCTCATGAGCCTATGAAGAGGAAGAGGAGGGAGAAGAGAGGGAAAAGAGCCTGACCAGAGTCAGATGCCAACAGGAGACGCCAGGCACCATGCCAAGCCACCAACTTCTCCTGAAAGCAACCAGACCAGTTAGGACTTCGCTCCAGGAGGAATGAACCCCCTGGCTTAAAAGGGCAGCCTCAGACACCCACCTGCTACACACACATTCAGAGAACAGACCAGAGCCCTGCAGGGTGGGCAGACCCGAGAACGTGCTTGGGGCTCCCGGCCTCGCCCTCACCCCAGGGACGTGTGACGTTTTCCTACATCTGATGTATGAAAACCCCTAGTATCCTCCTCACACCATGGATTTCAGGATCCTCAGCCCCTAATCCAACCCCAGTACAGATATAGTTTCTCCTGGGTCCGGACGCGATATTCTGCTTCTGGGGAGGAGCAAGGAGAGAAGACCCAAATGTGTGTCTGCTGAGAACTTGGGGCAAGAGGGCAAGGGACGAGATCGGCACCCCTTTCCCTTGAGATGGGCCCATTCCAGTCACCGAGGTGGCTGGATCGGGTGGTGGTGACGGAGCTGCGGGTAGCGGAGCCGGTGGGAGCGCGGGCCGGTGCAGGGTCTCTGGAGTGTACGCTCCGGGGAAGGGCGCGGCCGTGGGCATCCCGCGGCTTCTTCTGGGCTGTCTTCCGGGTCTCTGTGTCCCCACGCGCCGCCCACGGAGATCTTCCTCCTCTTCTTCTTCGGCCTCTCTCGCACACTCCCTGGCCCAAGTCCCAGATCCAAATCCCGGACCTGCCCAACCTCCGCCCCCTGCTCTGCGGCCGCCTCGGGGTCCACCGCCGCGCTCCGCACATCCAGGCTCGCGCCCCTGTGACTCTGATGTTCTGTCTCCCCTTGCTCCTCTCCGTCTTTCCCCAGTGCCATCCAGCTCCCCAGCTCCTGCTACGCCGCGCTCCTGGCGCCTCCGCCCGGGGTCAGGTCCTGCCCTGAGTCCCGGAGCGGCTGGGAACCCAGCCCTAGTTTCCTTCCAGGGCTCCATCCTCAGCACCAGCTTCAGCCCTAGGTAGCTGGGTCTCCGCGCCTCTCCCTGTCCCGCTCCGCTCCATCCCGCTCTGTCCCTCCAGCACGGGGTCCGCCCGCAGGTCCGCGCCACTCTCCCGGGGTCCGCCCCTCGCGCCCGCTCGCTCCCCGCGAGCCCTGCTGGGGCTCGGTCCGCAGCCGCCGGGGCTGAGGAGTCCTCGCTCACCCTGGCTCGGCGCGGGCAGCAGCAGCAGCAGCAACAGCAGCAGCAGCAGCAGCGGCAGCAGGAGCCGGGGCCAGCGCGGCGCGGGCGGGCGGCGCGGGGACGCGGTACGCGGCTCAGCCATGGGGCTCTCGGTCCGCTGGGCTCGGCAATGCGCGGCTCCCGGGCCTCTCGCGGCTCACAGCGTCCCGCGGGGCCGGCGCCGGGGCCGGGGCCGGGGCTCTGGCCGGGGCCGAGCCCGGGCTGCGGGGGGCTGCGGGCGCATGCCTGCCTAGGAGCACGGGGGGCGCAGTGGGAGCGCCGCTTGCGCCATCTTGCACCCTCCCGGGCGATCTGTCAGCCTCGCCCGGGGTGCGCGCTCCGCACTCGCACAGCCCGCGCCCGCCCCGCCCTCCTCGGTCCACCGCCCCCTCTCCTTCCTTCCCCTCCCCTCCCCTCCGGGTCCCCTCCCCCAGCCCCCTCTCCCCGGAGGCCGGGTCTGGGGAACAAAAGAGCCGGCGAACGGTTTAAGCGGCCGGACATTCCCGGCTGCGCGGCGGACGCGCCCCCTGCGCTTTGAACTGTGGCTGGAGCGGCCGGCGCCGTTCCGGGCCACAGCCGCATCCCCGCGTGGCCCGCCAGCCCCCGACTTGAGGAGCTGGGAAAGTGGAGATCCAGCGGACTGTGAGCGGCTCCGGACTGCGGGATTTGGTCCGACCCACTCTTTCTGCTGCGCCCTCCTCCACTATGTCCAAGTCTATATTTTAGAGCGAATTCCCTAAAAGCTGCTCAAAGTTGTCAAAGATTCGGCATTCCGTGGGTTCCCGGTCCTTTCACTCAAAAGATAGGTCGTTTACCTGCAAGAATGGCATCTATAGACTGAGGAGTTGTGGCACTTGGGGAGATGGCCTGGGAAGAGCAGAGCCAATAGGACAAGGAGGACGTTGAAGTAACCCTAGTTCCCACTCCAGTTCTGCCTGCCCTGTAGCCAAGCTAGTGCAGGCAGTCCTTCTCACTGAGCTCGGCTGAAAGCTGAAGACATCCTAATCTCTCCTGCCCTCCCCTGGAGACCTTTGAAGGGCACAGGTCTGGACAAATTACCTGGTAACTGGGAGAAAGTTGAAAATTGCCAGTAACATCTTCTACGCCTCATCCAATGTTTCACATGAGAGAATATATAGACACAAAGGTCCCGCATGAGTGTTCCAGAAGGTAGGGAGATCTCAGGAGACACTCAATCTTGTCCTCTTCTCACTGTATCAAATGGTCCATTGAGTCCAGCATGATGGGCTAGTCCACCCAATATATTGAGCAGCTGTGAAGTTCTAGGAGTTCAAGATTTAATTTGCTCATCTGCATTGGGCTGGAATGATGTTGGTGTAACCCAATCTCCCATTCAATACTGACTCTGGAACTTGGTACCAGGAGTGCTAACCATGTACGTATGTATAACTAGCTTTGGTTCCGATGAGTAAAGCAGTGCTGGCCTCCAGGAATCTGGCTTCCTGAAGATGGACAAGTCTACTAATGATAGGATTTGCCTGGCCTGGGGAATCTCCACTCTGCAGTAGCAACTAGAAGATGAACCTGAGAAGCAGGACTGGGGAAGCAATGGAGAAATTCAAGGTCAGGCACCCCAGGATGCCACAGTCCCAGTTGGATTTCATGGTGAGGAAGGACAGGAGTGAGTCCTCCCTCTACTCGCCATCGAGAAGGGAGGGAGGGAGGGGCCTCCCCAGGTCTAAAGTCCTGAAACTCCTGCCTGCAGGGCTTGAATCCTCAACAACCCCTTCTTGGCATGTCCTGGACTCCAGAGAGGTCAAATTGGTGTCCTGAGTTGCTGTCATTTTAAATTCATGTTGACAAGTGTTTAATTCTTCTTTATCACAACCCTTGGTCTGAGAGTGATATGCAAATGGCCATTCTGCTACATGCAAAAATATGCAGCATCTCACTGTATGATTTGTCAATTCACTCTGGGTCTGGCCCACCACCAGCAGCTTCGGGGTGGTCCTGGGCAGGGCAGCCTCTGGCTCACAGTTCCTTCCAAAGGAAGAGCACATTCCAGGCCCATGAAAGGTCTTAGCAGAGGGCAGCTGCCATCTGTGATCCTGAGGGGTGTGTGCAGAGTATGAGTGTGGAGTTTTGTATGTGAGACTGTGCACATTGAGTTAATGATAGCAGGGTGTTTGTTAAGGCAAGTGTGCAAGAGTGAATCTGAGCTTGTAGCCTCAGTGCCAGTGTGTGTGTGTGTGTGTGTGTGTGTGTGTGTGTGTGTGTGTGTGAATTGAGTGGTCATCAGTAATTTTGGTGGCTAGACTGACATAGATGAATAGTTGCAGGGTTGGTGGAGTGCCTCAAGCAGTAAGAGCACCTGCCTAGCAAGTGTGGGGCCCTAAGTTCAAACCCCAGTGCCGCCAAAAAAAAAAAAAATTAGTTGCAGAACCCACAACTCTTTTCCTGTACCCCAGAAGTTAAAAAAAATATATATGTGCTTAAGAGAGCCTGAGTGACATCTTTGGGTGGTTTCTCATCTGGAGTGTTTGTGGTACTGAGACTGAACCCAGGGCCTGGCACTTCATGGCTGGTCAAATGCTCTACCTCTCCCAGCCCTTTTCCTAAGTTCACATTTTTTACCTAAGTGCCTATTGAGGGGGAAGATGGTTTAGTTCTCTCTTGTGACCACCTGCTCTCTGCCCTCAAAAACCTCCATTTCCCATGCTGGTAGGAAACAAACTCCCTAGGGCCGAAAGACTGAGGAAACTGTAGTCACTGATTCCATAAACAATAATGCATGTCTGGAAAAGTTTATTAATTCATTATAGGGACTCATTATAGATACATGATCAATGCCTTAGCTTAACACTAAAGAATATCATACTTGTAAGGAGAAAAAAAATTCTGGAAAAATAATTAAATAATATCACATAAACTAAATATATATGAGCAAGTACTGATTACACTTGTCATGCATCAAGAAAAGGAAAATTTTTAAATGAGACTCAAGAAACTTACGGCATTAATGATAGTTGATGAAGGACTGATACCTGTAAAAGGCCAATAGACACTTTCCTAATAAAAATCCTGCTACAGAGACACAAACTTAACACTTCCAAATTACTCAGAGCCCAAATCATATATAAAACTAGTGAGTAATGTCACTTTCTTATCAACTGTGAGTTATAGGCAGATACCAGATTTATTACTTATTTGCTTTTGAAAAACAATTTTCTACCCAACCTAATGGGTTATAAATTGTCTCATTTGCAGCTATTTAATTTAAACCAGAACCTCAGTGCCTGTTAAACAAGAACATGAAAAATGACTATGTGGTGTAATGCTAAGAGTCTACTGTTAAAACAGCCATTTAATTCAGGGCAGTTTTTTCTCAAAAAAAAAAAAAAAAAAAATCAAACCAGCAAAATAAAATGGGGCTTTTGACCTTCAGAGCAAGGATGAAACATTCACAATGGTGTTGGCCACAGCAATGCCAAATGCTACAGAAATAGTACAAGCGACAATTCTGTCTTTAACAAGACACAAAACCAACATTAATAATCTTTAGTGTTATCATAGGCTGGCTGCAGGAGGGAGGGAGGAGGAAATGTAGGTGAGGATGTCAAACATGAATGACACCCGAGTGTAATAAACAGATGCTTTCAGGGTCTGAGGAGGCTGCAACTCTGCTGAGAGACATTATACCATTTAAAAAAAAAAAAAAAAAAGAAGGAAAGATAGACTGGTTCTTTCTAATTTGGCCCAGAAGACAGCGTTAACTCTTGATGTGCCAAAACGTTTAAAAGATGCAATTAGGAAGCAAAGAGTCCACATTCTATACTCCTAGGACAGGGCTAGGGTGAAAAATCAGATAAATGACATGGTGTTCACTACTCTGGAAATAGAAATCAAGATTGTCCCTGTGTGGCAGGTCAACAGAAGCTGATCTCAGGATTCAATTTAAAGAAAAACAAAATGAAATTAACCAACCATTTTCTGTGCAAAGACCTCCCTCCTGGCACCCTGGAGATAATCAGGTTCGAGGTGCACAGGGCAGGGCAGGGTTGGGCATCTGCTCCCCTAACTCCCCTCCCCTCTCCTCCTTCAGCAGGCAAGAGATGTCCAAGCCACCTTCTTCCAGCAAACCTGCCTCCCTGAACAGAAGGCAGGCAATCATTTTCCTCAAAGCTCTGGGTCAGTTCCCTTCCCTGTCTCAAAACTTCCCGTGGGACTTGGATTCACCTCTAAGGAGACTCCTCTCATCCCATTCCTGAGGCCCTTCTAGCGAGGGAGGCTAGAAGGTCTTCTGGGGAAGGTCTTCTGGGGAAGGGTCTGCCTGGGGAGGGGCTGATGTGGAAGCATCGGGGACATAGGAGTCGCATTATGGCCTTGAAGCAGACATGAGGTAGTCACGTTGTCAGGGAAGGACACAGAGGTTGAACTCAGGCAGGAGAAGCAGATGACAGTTCAGTCTGGAGCAGTGTGAGAGGCAGAAGAGAGTGGGAGAAAGAGGGAACAGGAGAGCGGGAATGAAAGCAATGGAGGAAGAGAACTGGGGAGCAAGTTAACTAGAAAAAGAGATCACTGAAGCAGTGAAGAGGAAGGAAGAAAGAGGAGCCTTCCAAAATCAGGCACTTCCCAAATTACCAAATTAGGCAGAGTTGCAGGGAGGAGAGGGGAGGGGAGCCAGGCTTACTTTCTGGTAATTTGGGCTGCGGGATAAAGGGTGGGGGTGGGAGGATGAAGGCGATGTGGCTGCAATGTTAGGCCTCAGAGCCTACTTGCACTCAGCCCAGCCCGCAGGAGTAGGCTGGGGCTGTCTTTGTAGACAGGGCATTGGAGACACTCTCAGAGTGTGTAATAAAAGGCTGGGTGCCAGGGGTGGGGGCCCACAGGGCTGGGGACTGACCACTCTGGTACACTGTCCTGACCTGGAGGATCAATTAGGCAGTAGTGACCACTGCCTGGGGCAAAGTCCAGCTCACTAACCAGTACACACACACGTGGCTTCACATGTGCACATCACATGTAGCTGTGACTCATATGTCTCTCACCTATCACAGGTGTCAGAGTATGGGGGACGTGAATAATCCAGTTCTTCCCTTCTCCCCACACAAGGTGCCCTTGGAGGCTCCAAAGGGCTGGGTGATATCTGCAGTACACAAGTGTACATGTGTGGCCATGTGTGTCATGTCCTGTGAGTCATACCAGCCTGCCTCAAATTGCACCTTCTGCTCGGGAGCTAAGCAGAGGAGGAGACGGAGCTCTGGGCAGGCCTGGGCTGGCTCCTAGAGGGCAGAGGGCTTTGGGCTGGCAGCTGTTCCCAGGGGCTTCTTCCAGAGCCTCTCTAGGCTGGAGGTCCGGGTAGGGGCAGGAGGCACTGGTTGCCTGTGACAGACAGGTAAGTCTGTCTGGCCTAGTGGCTGCCTGCTCACACCCTCCCAGCTCTCTGGCCAGCCAGTCTGCTCCCTGCCCGAGATCCACAACATCCGAGGTGAGACCATGGGCCTCTGTAGGCAGGGGCTCCTCAGAGTCCAGGTCCTGGAGATGGAGGTCAGGACTCCCCTTGGATGCACTGAAGTCAGAGTGGACAATGACTTCAGCCTCCACCTGATTCCTGCAGGCTGGAGGTGCCTTCTTCTTCCCATTGCCCTGGTTAGAGCACAGAACACAAAGATCAGGTGACTATCACTGAGAATGACGACAGAAAAATGACCAACATATGTAGGGTAAAGAGACCTAACCTCCATCTAAGTATGTATCACATGCGTGACAGTGAAGGAAACAGGGACTGTCCCACCCAACACATTGCTCAGACCCAGGCAAAGGCAGGGAAGCATGGAATATTACCCATCTGCCCCAGTCCAGGAGTCCCAGGAGTCTGAGGCATAGTCCAGAATAATTTTGTTGTGTTCCATTTAGGTCTCGGTTGAGGAGGGACTGTCCCTAACCCAGGCAAAACATAGGTTCTCCCAAATTGGCCTGCCTACAACCCCCTTCACCTTTGGTGGCTCCAGGGTCTTCTGCTAGATATCTGTCCCCAGAAAGGTTACTACCCAGTGGCCTCCAGAGAGCTCATTGTCTTCTCTTAGCAGCATAGGAGCCCTTTCCTCCTTTCCTTCCCCTTCCTCCCAAGACACTGACCTTTACAGCATCATACACCAGGGCCTGCAGCAACAGCGTCTGCCCAGTTCCAGCAGGGGGCAGCAAGGCCCGGGTCAGAGCAGGCCTGGGGCCAGTCTGGGGCAGTTCACAGCCTGCCCAGGAACCTGCCCAGTTCGGCCCACCCGGCTGAGCCCAAGAGATCTGTACAGGAGAAAGAAGGGGACACCAGTGGGCATGACAGGAGATTGGCTAGGAACAAAAGGGAAGAAAAGGGGATGGGCTATGGGGAACAGGGCCTAGATTTTCTGTCCTATGCTATCTCCCGGAAGAGCTAGAAATCAGAGGAAGGAATTTCAGTGTGCAGTCTTCCTGCAGGCAAACCTAATATAGGTGCTCTGCAAAGTCTGAGGCTTCCATAGCTGGCAGGCTCTTCCTCTCTAGAGGCAGGGAGGGGGAGGAGAGGACTGACCAGTTGGTTGGCCACGATGTGCCGCCACTGCCGGCATGGAGGGGACCTGCCCTGCAAAAGCCTCACCTTATCCTGGTCCCAGAGTCCCTGCTTGGCCACAGCCAAGCTGACCAGCTCCCTATATTAGGAGGGCAGGGCCTTATAAGGCCTCCCCAGATCTGGGTGTTCTAGGCAGCTGCAGTTACCTGCACACATGCATTGGGGCCCTTCCCGGTAAGAACCAGGGTGGCCTATGCTGAGGGCTGGAGGCCACCTGCTTCCCTGCCCAGCCAGCCCGTTCATAGAGAAGGGACAGACTACTCTCGCCCAGCTGTCCCAGGAGTGGAGGGGAGAAATAGCTCACACTATTACAAGTTGTGCTCCAGAGCCCCCTGGTGTCCTGTTATGGAATTGGTCGCAGTGTGGGGCTCGGACATACCCAGACTCCAGGCTCACCTTTCTCTTAGAGTGGCCACGGCAGTCTGAGACGCTGCCACTCATAAGGCTGTGCACTTCAGCCTTGTCCTCCAACTCTGAGGGCGATGGGGACCAGTCCTGGGCACGGAGGTGCACAAGGGACTCCAGTTCATGGGCAGAAGGGAGACTAGCAGGGCCAAGCCGGGCTCTGGAGTACAGTGCAGGGTTCCCGTTGGTGGCTGTGGAGGACAGGCCTGGGAGGGCTTCCCTAGAAGGGACCATGAGAAACAAGGCAAGTGGTCAAGGGGAAGAGTGGGGCAGGACTAGGCCCCATTCTGCTGTGGCTCTGGGCAGCTTTCGGCTCACCTACAGGACTTGGTTTCCCAGCCTGTGCAATAGATAGGGAAGGACTATTGTTGAAACAGCCTGACACAGCAGCTGGGGCCTGTCCTCCCTTGGTTCCAAACATGGAGATTTGGGGCCCTCTTTCCAGACTGTGGTGCCTGTCAGTTCATCCCCCATTCTCATAACATCACCTAATCCCTTTGTCCCAGAGTCCTATCAAGTTAATTAATCAACTGACTTTTTGCAGCTCTGGGGACTGAACCCAGTGCTTCACATATGCTAGGCAAGTGCTCTACCACTGAACCCCAGCCCCCAGAGTCCTAACTTTAATGGGACTCCAGCAGGGGTGCCAAGGGCGAGTCACAGGCACGTTCCTTGCTCGCTCACTCTGCAGCCCTTCCTGGAGATCTGTCTGTGGTCAGACTGGTCCCCTCGCCCACCTGTGGGGGCTGCGCCGCAGGCCAGCACACATACAGGCCAGGAGGCAGAGAAGACCCAGGCAGACACCCACGATGATTCCTGTGACTGAGTGCACATCCAAGGAGTCTGCTGGGGACAGAGGGGAAGGGCAGGTCAAGGACTGGAGGAGGGCACATGGCTCATAGATCTGGGTGATCTGTAGCTTCTGCCTCAGCCTCATCCTTTGGACACTCAAAGTCTTCTGATGTAAAGATGAAGGCCTGTGGTCTCGGGGGGCCACTGCCCCCACTCCACCCTACCCCACAGTCTTCCCCACAACACATACTCAAGTTGTGGGCTCTCCTCCTAGAACTGGTCTTTCATTGAAGTACACCCCGGCCTGCCCACCAGGGCTGATTTCATAGTGTGCAACACGTACTGCTGCCCAGGACACACATGGAGAAGAGCTCAGTGCTTGGCTTAATGTTCTACCATTGCCATCTTCAAATCCTTTATAGCTTTTCATCTCGCACTGAGCTCTGTGAGTTATGTAGCCAGTCCTATTGCCCCCCTCCACCCCATAAAGCCTGTCACTCACAAAAGCCAACCCTCCAATCAAATCAACTGCCCCCAAGAAGCAAGTCTCTAAGCCACCCCAGTTCCTATGACACTGACCTGGCAACCACATTGCTACATCATTTCCCCCTTCAAATGTGCCGTGCCACCACCAAACCATGAGGACAGCTGTCCAAAACAACAAAACTGTAGGTGTGCCCAGAGGCAGGGCCTTGGAAATCAACTCCAGGAGCACAGAGTACCTGGACAGCCCTGGAGCCTCCCTCCTCCCGCCTCATACCTGAGAGCCTCTCCTGGAGAGTGATCACATCCTGCAGGCGGGAGAAGGGCCCGGGCCCCACCTCTGTGCGCGCCCCCATCTTGAAGAAGTACCTTGTGTCACTCTCCAGGCCATGCACTTCTGCGCTGAAGATGTTTCCTGGGGGCAGGAAAGCAGGACAGCAGGATGGTGGGTCAACAGGGTGGGAGGCAGGGTGAGAAGTCTGCCTCCCATGCAGATAGGAGCTTCTGCCTGCTCCTCCCAGATGCCCCTGGAGCAAAGCACCTGCTCACTGCTAACTGGGCCATGGAGAGGGAATGGCGGCGGCAGGGACCCTCACCCTCTGTGGTGAGTAGTGTCCACTGGTGCTCGGGCTGGGTGTGATTGGTGCTGTAGAGAATCAGATATTCTACGATCTCACCATTGGGCTCTGTCGGGGGGCACCAGTGTAGCCGGACAGTGGATGGAGTCAGAGGGCTCAGGCGCAGGTCAGATGGTGGCGTAGAGGGTCCTGGAGTGCAGGGGAGAGGTGAACAGACAGGGACACTGGAACCCCAGTTCTGGGGGTAGCTGGGAGACATGGAATGTGGTATGGTCTCCTCTCTGCCTCCTTTACCAGAAGCCACACAGCAAATGTGAGCTCTGGTCTCTAGCTAGGGAATTTCTGGTAACAGTGGGGGTGGGGGAAAGCAGTGCTTCACCACCATTCTTCCCCTCCCAGAAACTCATTGCCACTCATCTCTGCCTGAACCTCAGAAGAGAGGGCTTTCAGTGGCAAGGGGGCTGGGGTCACTCACGGTCAGGCAGGGTGGACCGCTCCACCACCGAGCCAAAAGGCCCATCCATGTCCACGCCATGGGACTGCACCGCAAACTCGTACTTGGTGAATGGCTTCAGCCCACCAATGAGGATGTCTTCTCCAGAACTGCAGGGACAGGATGTGGCTGTGCCCTGGGGAACACTCATAATGGGGCACATCCCCAACTCAGGCCCTGGCCGTGGAAGAGGGGCTGCTCCCTGGCATCGGGCCACCAACACCACCCATAGGACCTGCAGGGAGCAGGTATGCTGCTCCAAACAATGTCCAAGCCAACCCCTCCTCCGGGAAGCCTTCCTGAATCAATCTAGGTTATTTCTCCACCCAAGGAACCATCTCTAAGACATTGTTCCTTGGCTTAATTCTGCTTTTACTGTAACTGCTTACATCTGTTGCTTTTTGCATGCTTTCTCTAACAGGGAGCTGTCTCCCATCTGAGGGGAGGGCAGGGTTCTCTCCCCAACACACAAGAGCTCCTGAGACTAGAACAGCAGGTCGTCCTGCACCCCATTCTCCAAAGGCTAAGCACAGGCTCTCAGCAGGCAAGGAGGTGGCGCCCATGCAGACCCTCAGTGTGCCCCAGTGCCACAAGTGAGCCCCAGGTCCCTCTTCCAAGCACCACCTGCTGCCTCCCCAGCCCCTCTTCCCCACCTGGTGTAGTAGGTCACCAGGGAGGCGTTCCTGAGCCCCCAGGGACTGAAGCGTACGGTGTAGTTGACAATCTTGACCGTGGTGAAGTCTGGCTTCTTCCACCGAAGCCAGATGGACGTGGAGCTGTTTGATTCTGCATGCACGTGGGCAGGGGGTAAGGGAGGCCCCCGCTGGATGGGCAGGTCTAGAAGGTAAAAATCAGTGTGGGGAAGGAAGAATGACACTCAGCCCTAACTATATACAGTGGTTTATAGCTCCCAGGCTCTCTTTCTCAGGCCCTATTTATTATTATTAATTATTATTATTTTAAAGACAGGGTGGCCTCCAACTCGTGATTCTCCTGCCTCAGCTGGGACTGCCAGTATGCACCACTATGCCTGGCTCTGACCCTCTTCTTTTGATCCTGTGAGTTGGGTATCGTTGTCCCCACTTCACAGATAGTGCATCTGAGATTCCTAAGAATTGGAGTGATTTTTGCTAGGGTCACACATATTGCAGATTGTGCAGAACTAGTAAGCAATGAAGAGCACAGACTCTGGAGCAAGGCTGCATTGGTTCAAATTCTAGCTCTGCCACTTACCAGCTGTGTGACCTTGGAGAAGTTACTTCATCTCTCTGTGCTTCCACTCCCTATTCTGTAAGTGGATCTGATGATAGTACCTACCTCATGAGGTTGTTAGGAAGATTAAATTAGCTAATATTTGGGAAACAGATGGGAAAGTGTCTGGCATACAGTATGTACTAACTGGTGATAAGTGTTTATATATAAACAAAAAATAAAAAACTCCATGAGAGCAGGTACCTTATTTGTGCTGTTCATCACTAAATTCCCAGAATAGAGCTGGCACGTAGCAGATACTCAGTAAAATTTTTGCTGAATGGATAAATGAACAAGCTGGAATTAGAACCCAGATGTCTTGGCTTTCTGGTTGAGCACTTTTCCTGCTAAACCACCTGCTGGAAGTCAGTCTGGGAAGTGAGGATGAGGGAGTGTTATGATGTACAATCGGCATGTCCAATACAGGGCCACAGTACAAGGACTTGCCTGGGAGCCAGGGGGTCTATGTCTGGTCTAGGCTCTGTGTAACCTTAGATAAAGTCCCTTTACCTCTCTGAGCCTCAGTTTTCCTGAAGACCACATAGGGATACTGTGCCTAGCTGAGGAATAATCTGACAGGTAGTGTGATGGAGGCAATGTTTTTGAAAATTTGTGTTAAGGTCAAATTTGGGGTTTCCCTCTACCCAAACCTTTGCTCTGCTTATGAATAATCAAAGTGAGGTACAGGCCCAAAAGACAGCTACAAGCCAGGGCTTCTCTCCAGTCTGGCTGAGGATAATCCTACCTAGGAGGATGGGTTTGGGGGGTGGGCTGAGGTTATTTACTCTGCCTGCCCACCAGGTTGGCCTGGAGGAAAAGGAAAAGGAAAAGGAAAAGGAAGTGGGTCTCAGGCCCCTCCAAAGAGACCTCTTCATGCCTCCCAGCATGCTCACCTGGTGTGGGTGCCTTCTCAGTCTTGCCCTTCCACACGGCGGCATAGCCATCTTCGTGTTTGTTGAATGCCACAAGCTTCACTTCATACAGCCGGCCAGGGACTGGGGAATGTCACGGGGAGTCACTCACTGGCTAGAGGATCCTCTGCCACCACTCTCCCCTCCCCAGAGCACATTCCATTTCTATGCTCAGCTTGTCTGCTCCACAGTGAAGTCTGGATCATGCCCACCTTCATCCAGACCCTCAGACCCCTCACCTAGCTGGGTCAGCTCATACTGCTTCACTTTCTTCTTGAGCCGGACTGGGCCCACATCCCAGGCCTGGTCTCCGGGTCCTCCTGAGGGGCGATCGCCATCAGCCTCTTCTTCGGCCCCCACCTCTCGCCAGTATAGTTTATAGCCAGAGATCTGGGTGGGGTGAGGGGGCGGCTGCCATGACACGACCAGGGACTCCATCCTTGCCCGCACCTTCAACTCTGCAGGGGCAAAGGGGACTGGGGGCAGAGGAAGAGGACGGGGAAGGAAGAAGAGAATGGGGAAAAAGGGAGAAAGGCAGGAAGATGGCACAGAGAGCATTGCCAAGGTTTTTCCAACGCAGCACCATCAACCACTACCCTCAGGGCCAGCCTGATTGAGTAGAGGTGTCTACTGGGCATGTGCAAAGGGCCGCGAGGCACCTCTGGGCAAGTCAACAGTACCAGGCACAGAGAAGCCTATGTAAATCTGCTAAAGGAACAAATGCAGGCAAGGGGCTGCTGGAATGAGGCAGGAGACCATCAGAGTGGGAAGTCCAAAGGCAGGGGGCTCATGTGTCACCTAGTTCGAAGCACCTCATGTTAAAGTTAATATTACTTTCATTATTTCCTTATCGAAAATATTATTATCTCCATTTTACAGATAGGAAAACTGAGGCTCATGAAAATTAAGCAACTTGCCCAGTGTTATAGTCGTGTCTGCAGTGAGTCACTCTACTACTGAGTCTCTCAACAAAAGCAATCGTACTCATTGAGCAGCTATTACTTACGTACTAAGCACTTTGTTTATAATATCATAACCCTCACATCACCCCTTGACAGTAAATGAGGATTCAGAGCTGTGAATGGCTTGTCTGAGTCACAGAGTAGATAGAAGGGACACCTGAGCCTGGCCCTTCACATACACACCTAGGCCTCCCATACCCACCAACCAGGAGGAGCCAGAAAGGGTCTGGGATGAATGGAGTGGTGGAGCCCTGGGTTCTGAGGGCACAGTACAGCTCTAGTTACCCACACTTCCCAGTCCTGCCCCTCTGGCTGCATACCATGGCTTTGGTTGTGCGCCCAAGATGTCCTGTGCTGCATCCACTGGGAGGGGGCCCCATAGCCGGCCCCAGTGCCAGCCGAGATCCGGACTCGGTACACCTTATTTGGCTGAAGCGAGTTTAGCGTAAGCTGTGTCTCATTTCCTGGCACCTCAGTGGAGAGAATCTGATCTGCTGGGTCAGAAGAGATGGGCTGCTAGGCGTCCACCTGTGGACATGACCTCTAAACTCCCTACTGACTCCTCCACTTCAGCTCTGGTTCCTCAGGGCTCCAATCGACCCTCAGGGCTGTTAAGACTCCACAGCTCCAGGGCTGACTCTCAGGCCTCTAACTGTGGCTGACACAGCCCACTGGCCTGGGTGCAGCATGGGCAGAACACTGCCTGCTCTCCCCTTTCCTATGCACTGTCAATTACCCCAACACACGTGCCAGGTGCAGACACCCCAACAGGAATAAACACAATGAGGAGGAAATGCATGATGAGAGGCCTGGTTCCGAGCTGGAGTCTTGGTGAAGCAGAGATGTCAGATGCTACTGCTTTCTGCCAGAGGTCCATTCCAACCCCATTAGTGCATTGAGTCGGGCTGGCCTAAAGGGGAACAGCACCACCTGGCGTCTAGGCCCTGACCACTGTCCCAACATTGCTTCCTTGCCTGGCCCTCCCTCCACTTTCCTTCTCCTGACTCCCCATCTCTTTCATAACTCTCTCCCCTAGATCACCTACACGCCCACTTCAGGCCCCGTATTTCCCTGTCCCACAAGCACACCTGCCACTTCCCCACCTCTCATCTGCTTTTGGAGCTGCAAGGGCTCCAAGGATCACCTAGGCTACCTGCCTCGCTTCACAAAGGAAACTGAGACAGACTCCACTGGATTACATAATGCTGCTGCAGAGCAGGTGGGACTAGAACCCAGGCCCCTGCCTTGAGCTACCTACCCTCTCTGCCTTCCTTTTTCACTCCTGCTGCCCTGATCCCACAGGGATGATGCCCACAATGCTGGACTCCCTCCTCTGCTCAGGCCTCCAGAGCTCCACTCACCTTCCTTTCCCAAACCATACTCTATCTTGTACTTCACCACCTGCCCATTGCTCAGGCTGGGAGGCAGGGGCAGCCATGCCACCCTGATGTCCGAGGGGTTGGGGCTGGACAGGGCGAGCTGGGGTGCTGCACTGGGAACTGAGACAGAAGAACATCAGCGTGAGGCTAGGGAGCAGGTCAGAAACTTGTGTTGGACACACAGCAAGTCAGAAATAGTCCCAGGCCCAGAATCTGAGGGAGGGAGGAAAGGGGGCCTCTCAGGGAAGCACCAAGCTGGAGAATCAGGGCACATTCTTCCCCACCCAAAGCTAGAAAGGGGTGAGGTGTGGTCTCAGCCAGCTGGCACATGGCTATCAGAGAAAAGGGCTGTGTGATGAGGGAATGACAAAACCTGGGCTCAAGTTCCAGCTGTACTGCTGACCTTATTTCCTGGGGAGAAGAACCTCTGCCTCTCTCTTACAGGACAAAAAGGTGCTATGAGGCAGGTGAAAGTGCACTGGGATGCACTAGTAAAGAGAGGGGAGCTATCATCCTCAGGGGATGATCTGGGTCCCAAGCTGCCAGCTGCAAGTTCAGAGACCTTACCATCATCCAAGGTGTGGACCAGTGCTGGGGTGGAGGTGCGGCTGGCCCCCAGCTGGGAGTAAGCCACCACATAGAACTCATAATCCGTGTTGGGTTCCAAGTCTCGAACCTGTAGTTCTGTGGTGTCATTGTTCAGTGCAAACTGGTATTCCACATTGTCCATGCCTGGGGTGGTGACAGGGGACAAAGGGACTCTCACAGGGCCACTTAGGCACTTGCTGGCTGGAGTTTGTCTAGAGATCCTTCACATTATCCTACTTTCTGGAATAGTTTATTTATAGCTAAATCATCCCTGATAATCTGAGTTGGAGAGTACAAACTCCTTTAGCTTCTCCTGTTCTCATTGTATGAATTTCTCCATCGGTTAGGAAGTTTTTCCTGGTGTCTAACTGAAATGACTCCTGCTGTAGTTATTTAAGTGGGGCGGGAAGTGGTTTTAGTAATGCCAAGAAATTTTTCTTAGAAGGAAAGGCATCCTGTTTCCTCTCTCTCATAACAAACATGGATGAGGGGAAAGTGGTGCCACACACACTGACCTCTCCAGCACCAAGCTGAAGGTCAGTGGATAGGTGCATCTCATGTGGACTCTCACACCATCCCCTCTTATCCCCAAAGGTACCCACCAGACAACCCTTCATTTATCCAACTTGTACCCCGCCATATGCACGATGAGGACCTCCGCTGGGGCACCTCGAGTAGACGTACCCTGTGCCTTCTGGTAGTGGAGTGAGAAGCCAATGATCTGTTCGCTGTGCAGCTCGGGCCTTTCCCAGGCCACCAGCACAGCGGAGCTGCTCAGTGGCGTGGCGGTGACCCGAGTGGGGGCGCTGGGCAGCCCCTCGCGCACCACGACGGCCAACGGCGCGACGGCGCACGCCGTTCCCGCGCTGTTCTCTGCCACACACTGGTAGTAGCCGGCATCCTGCAGGCCGATCTGCGTGATGACCAAGCTGCCGCCGCCACCCTGGACCTTGACTCTCCCGTTGGGCCGCAGCGGCTCCCCGTTATGCAGCCAGCGCAGCACTGGTCGCGGCTCCCCCGACGCGCGGCACACAAAGCGCGCAGTGCTCGCCCGCGTCCGCGACAGCGCCTCGGGCGCCTGCGAGATGGCAGGAGCAGCTGGGACAGGAAGGGCGACGCTGACCACGGCTCGACCAACAGGGGCTCTGCCCTTCCTCAAATACCCAACACCGCCCCTCCCCTAGCCACGCCCCTCCCCCAGCGTCCACCCTATGCTCCCCATTTATCCCACCTTTCACTCATGCTTCTCTTCCTGCCGGCTCTAACTCCACCCCTCATTGACCCACTTACTTCTCTCTGCCTTCCAAAGTCTCCCACTCCTATCAATTTTACCCTCTCCCCAGTTATTCCAGCTCGGAACAGGCCCAGCCCCTCAGTTTTAGTACAACCCAGACCACTCCGCTATCTCCCAATAACCTCGCCCTCCGCCCATTACCTAGGTCTGACCCTTCCCCGCCCCCCAATCTCCCAACCAGGCCTTAATCACCCTCCTCCTTCCATCCTTGACTCAACTCCCCACTCTTCTCCAGCTACCTACCTGTTTGTCTCCCCAATTTCCCCTTTACTAGGGCTCCTCCCATGAGCTCGTCCTCCCTAGCCTTTTCTCGTTTTCCAGGATCACCCTCTGTAGCAAGCCATCCGCCCACCTCCCCTTCCGCCGCAGTTCGCCTCCAGCACACCGGCTCACCCAGCACGCGGAGCTCAGCGGCGGCCGTGGCGAAGTCCCGCGTGAGGGGCTTGTTGGCGCGGCAGACATAGACACCAGAGTGCCGGGGCTGGGCGTGGGCGATGAGTAAGTTGGTACGGCCAAGGACGATGACATCCGTAGAGATGGGCTTTCCATCTGAGGCAGGAGAGGAAGCAGGCTCGAGGGGGCCATGGAGACTACCCCTCCATTCCCTCTTGTGACTTTGGGAACTCTCTAGACCCAAGTAAAGCAAATAGCACGGGTTCTAGCACAACGTTCCTCTTTGTGCTAGCAAGGTGGCCTATCAGGGAGACCGTTCCTAGTTGGAAGGGCAGCTTTGAGAGGTAAAGAACCCGATCTGAGAAACTCTGTGGGCAGTGCAGGCATGAGTATGTCCTCAGCATGCTGGTCAGCCACCACTGTTCTGATTACCACCAAATTCACTTCTCAAGAGGACATGCTCCCTGTGGTCTCAGTCCAGCACTGTGATGAAGATAAGGTGGGTAAAGTCTGACCAGACCAACGGTTTGGATCTGTGCGGACTTTTACCTTTATTTATATTTTCAGTGCTGGGGACCAGACCCAGGGCTGTGTGGCATCTTCCCAGCTCTCAAACACTTACCTGCAACACTGTTGTGAGGACCAGAAATAAGGAAGACCAAACTCCCCCTCAGTAGTTGCAGGAAGGGTTTAGTGAGTGGCAGACCCAAAGTGCTCTGATTGATGATTAAGTATGTCCAGGTTCACCCATGCAGCCCCTTCCTTGTTGCCCACCACACCCAGTCCCCATCACACCAGATGTTGGTGGCCAGAGTGGTCACCCAAACAGCTTCCTGATTTAGGAACTTGTGAGATGCTACCCCATCCTTTCTGTGCCCGCTGGTCTTCCCCTGCCCCTCCCTTTCCACTCACCCTGTCGGACCCAGGACACAAAAGGGGTGGGGTCAGCGGAGGCCACACATTCCATCACCACACTCTGTCCTGACACCACAGTCATGTTCTCTGGGGCTGCCACGATGACCACGTCCTGCCCCCTGGTGGCCACTAGGGATCCTGGAGAGAAGACAGGCCAGCAGGCACCCTTACCATTAGCCATGATAGACATGGGATAGATACCTCACTGCTGCTCCCAGTAACCAGGAGCAACAAGGGCAGCAGTGGCTCTGTCTGGGAAATGAGGACAGTAGCCACCAAGTTCAGCAGAATTGGGACTGGAACTCAGGCTTATTCTCTTAGAACCAGAAGAATGGCCTCCAACAGCTCCAGAGAAAGGACTGGTTAAATCCACACCTACCCCCATCCTTCCCTCCAGTCCAGCCCCCTCTAGGCAGAGGGCTCCAGGGCCCTGCACGGAGCACCAGCCTTGGACCCAGCACTTCTAGTTTCTAGTTTCAGCACTAACACACCGGGTGACCTCAGGCAAGTTCTTCCCCAAAGAGCTGGGGGTTCCTGTGTGGAAAAGGCAGGGAGTGGGCTCTAGTTTCTGCTGGCATGGCAGCTTCTAGAACCCTGCCAATTTCTTGTGACCCTTGCCCTCTGGGCAGAATGGTGAATACCCAGTTTGTCCAGCAGGTGGAGGCAGAGAACAAAAGCAGTAGGACAGTAAGGCAGCCTAGGAGCAGACCAAAAGCTGAGGGACAGAAGAGCAGGGGGAGGGAAGGACAAGGAGGCAGGAGAAGGGGGCAAGTGAGAGGGGTCCTTGGGGAAGGCTCAAAGTAAGATCTGTTGAGCACCTGCTAGGCTGCCAGGCACTTTCTATTCTTATTCCAGCTATTATTCTAACCTGTCTTTCAAAAGCCAGACATTTGATAAGGTGTCCAGTGTCATGAAGATGGTGAGTAGGAAAGTCAGAAGTCAAAACAGGTCTTTCTGATCCCAAAGCCTGTGTCCTTCCTACCCCTATCACACTGGTATGGGAGCTTTTCAAAGCAAGGCAGAAGAGGTCAGGAGCATAAGCTACAGGAAGCTAGATGTAGTACTAAGCAAGCAGGGCTGGATGAATCCCAGTACTCTGAGCTGTCAGGGTACACAGAAGGAGTGGGGTCAGGGCTGCAGGGCACTGACACCCCTCCTCAGACACTAATAGGGAGCTATTAGTCCCCATCCAATCCAAGGGGCCACAGAGACTCTGTGGTAAGGGAGAAGCCCCACACTGGGAGCTGGGGTCTTGGGTTCCAGCCACAAGTACTGTTCTGTCTGGTGGATGGCATTGCCCTGTCTGGATTCATCACCTCACTTGCCCGATGGGACTACTACTGTCACCTGTGTAAAGGTATCACCAGGACCTCTTGTAGCCCTTCTTAGCTCCCAGGCAGCTGGCTTCAGAGCTCCCCAGGTTTCCCATCCATGGGCCCCTTACCTCTACGGGCCACGATGAGTGGGGCTTCAAGGCTGACGCGCTGGCGGGCTGAGTTGGTGGCCACACAGCGGTAGGAGCCCGCATCACTCTTCTGAACATCCCGGATCTGGAGGACTCCGTTGGGCAGAGTAACGAGCCTTTGGGGAAGGAGAAGAGGGCGACTGTGAGGTGGGAGGATGGCTCCTAATGAAAGAAATGCAAATTAAAACCAAAAGATACCATTTCACCTATCAGACTGGCAAAGGCTGGGGTGGAGGCACCCCTGCCCTGTTGGTGGCCATCCAGCACATTCCTTGCTCTTTCTTGGGCAAGCTGTTAATGGCTCAACATCAAAACTGCACGGACCTTTTGATCCAGCAATGCCACTTCTAGGACTCTGTCCCACAGATAATCTTATATATGTGCACAGAAACATATGTCTCTGTGTCCAAGTGTGGGGTGGGGATGGGCTACATAGGTTTGGGTACTTTCTACAATGGAACGCTAGGTGGCTGTTAAAAAGGAAGCAGTTCCATGAGTGCTCACAGAGAGAGATCTCCAAAATGTGTTCTACCAAACACATGTGGGGACCCATGTGCTTATGTTTACATATGCGTTGGATGTCCCTGTTAATGGTGGTTTTCTCCAGGAATGTCACCTGGGATCTTCAGAGGGGAGTGTGGGAAGACTTTTAATTATAGGTCCTTTTATACAATTTGGATTTTTTTTTTGACTTATTGCCTATATTACTTCCTTCCTCTCCTTCTCTGTCCTGGGGTGAAGGACAGGGAAGCAAGAGAGGGTGGAAGGAAAAGCCAAGTCCAGGACCGCTGGGCTTCTTCCACAAAACAACAGATGGGAACGGGCAAGTGAGGAAAGGACATGTGAAACCATCTGATCTGAAGCCCAGCCCTCATCCAGGGCTGCTGCACCCAATGCTCTGCTCCAAGATTCTTCTTCCCTCTGTCTCCTGCAGTCCAGTAAGCTTGACTGTGATGCCAGGAGCTGCCCCACTTTCTAACCCCAAAGGCCTCTGGTCTTTCCAAGGAAGTCACACCGAATCTCAGGAACTAACACTACCCTTGACAAAGAGCATTTCCTTAATGGTGCATGTAGAATGACTGAATGAATGTATGCCTCTCCCCAGATATGGTATTGTTGCTGCAGACAGCAGAGGTGGCATGGAGCCACTTGTAGTGCTCATTGAACTCTCTTTTATCTTGTTAAAATGTGTTTTCAGGAGCTGTCCTTGGAAAGATTTCCAAGATATATTGGCTAGTGCAGGAAAAAGTCACAAGTTGGTGTTTATGAAGCAATTCTATATTTGGAAAATAGATAAATGATAGGTTAGGCTAGACACGAAAAAAATCAAGGTTGGCAAATTCTCATAGTTCATGGGATTTTCTCTGAGTGGAAATACTGAGGACTCTTATTTGTTGAGCTTTAAAAATGTTTTTTGCAATGAATTCTATTAGTTTGGAAACACAGATTTTTAAAATTTATTCATTTTAGTGTTAAAGCTAGAAAACAGGGCCTTGTACACGCTAGGCAAGTGGTGTCCCACTGAGCTATATCCCTAGCCCTTGGGTTTTTGAGACAAGATCTCTCTATGTCTCCCAGACTGGCCTTGAACTCTTGATCCTCCTGCCTCCACCTCCCTAGTGCTGGGCTAGAAATTTTTAAAGTTTTAAAAGTATGTGCCCCTGTACACTTTGTTTTGTAACTCCAGGCTCCAATACAGAAGCAGTAGTGGAGTAGTGGGGGAGAGACAGTGAGGGAATTGTAAATAATACACAATATAAGTCCAATCGGAATCATCACTACGAACCCGCCCCCCCATAATGAATATATCCTAATAAAAAAAAGAGAAAAGCAGCAGTAGAGGCATGGTGGAGAGAACTGGAAACTGGTTCCAATGATTGTGATTTTAGCAAGTGACATTACATGTCATGCTTTTCTCAGCTGAAAAATGAGTTATTTAAGTCTTGTGCTGTCTACTTAACCCTCTTAACATGTTATGAGCTCACGTTAGACAAGGGACGAAAAAACTCACAACAAAGGGCTGGTGGAGTGGCTCAAGGTGTAGGCTCTGAGTTCAAACCCCAGTACTGAAAAAAAAAAAAAATCAAAAGGAAGGAATTTTTTTTTTTTTTCCATGCCCAAGCCTAAGTCAGCTGCCTTAAAAGTTTACTTGGGCCAAGGTATCTAAGAATGCAGAAGAAATGACACAGGTGCTCTGAATTTCCCCAGGGCCAAGGAGCTCCATACTAAGCCTCTGAGAGATCCACCCAAGGAAAGGGGCCAATCACTGACGGCCCCATGAGGCTGACAGGTGGTAGAGTCTGGCGGAGGCTGTACAATAAGGGAGTGCAGCTTATTTAAGTTAATGGTGGTAACCAAAAGATTTCAAAAGAAACCAAAAAAAAAAAAAAAAGATTTCAAATGGACTCAGACACATTTGTTATTCCAGTAGTTGTGTATTATTTTATGGCTGCCTTCTATTGATGGTAAGTGTCATTGGCTTTCCATTTTATTGCAGTAAGAGGATGTCTTTTTTTTTTTTTTTTTTCAGTCCTGGGCTTGAATTCAGGGTGTACACCTTGAGCCACTCCACCAGCCCTATTTTTGTGAAGGGTTTTGTGAGATAGGGTCTCTTGGGACTATTTGCCTGGGCTGGCTTTGAACCTCGATCCTCCTGATCTCTGCCTCCTGAGTAGCTAGGATTACAGGTGTGAGCCACATCTCCCAGCTTGATAATGTCCTGAAGTTATGAGAGAGCAACTTGATGTAAAGGAAAGGTAAGTGAGATTGTGCAACTGGTATAAAGATGGCTTAATCTCTGCAGGTGGCTGTGAATGTCTGGCTTTGGGAAACACTGCTCTCATTGATTACTGCTTCCCATGGAAGAAAAATTATCCCTATTATTAGAAATTAGTGTAAGTACCAGGGAATTGCCTTGGGGTCCAGTCTTCACCATTGTTTCTAAAAGTATGCACATCTACCCCGCCTGTATGGTTATTAGCTGCTCATGTGTACAGCCTACACCAAGGCATATGGTCTCCATCAATCCTCTGGGCTGGGTTTATGAATAGCATATTTGCACATGCACTGTATCTGGGCATATGTAAAAATACCTACCTCGGCCACAATCAAGTTGCTGTTTTAGACATTTCTTTATTCCCTCACACAATGTGCTGGGACATGTGAGCTCGGCTTATTTATAGACGAGGATCGCTTTTCAGAGGACTTGGGGGCCAACACTCCTGGAGCCCAGGAACTGGCAGCTCCCGCCTTGTGGGTGAGGCCTGTGGCTCCATGGGATGATGCCTGATGTTGGGAGAGGAGTCTGAACCTCACTGGTTTGCAGAGAAACTTGGCTGAGCTGAGCCAGTTAGGCTATCAATCTCTAAACCTACCTGCAGCACAAACTTCTTCAGACCCTGCAGTTTCCTTCCCCTTCCAACCACCAAACTGCGCCTAGGAGAGGCCTGTGTGTTAACCATGTCACTGCTCCCAAGTCCAACACTCTGAAGACCAGCTGTGTGGCCTGGAGAAAGTTACTTCTGTCTCTGATCTTCAGTTCCCTCCTTTAACAATTCAGACAATAATATCTACCATAACCATATCCATAGGTCTGGAATGTTTATTATGTGTTAAGAGGAAAGATCACTGAACTAGTAATATACAATAAAACCCAAAATTTTTAAGAGAATATTTATAAACATAGGAAAAAAGTCCTACAGAATACACATCAAAAATAACGATGGGTTTCTATGTGTGATAAGATAACATTTTCCTTCTTTTTTGTTTTAAGAATGTATCTGTTAGGAATATAAATTAAAAGTAAATATAGAAAAATACAGAAAATAAGAAATACCTATTGTGAAGGATGCTGGGAAGGATTAAGAGAGAAAACATGCAAAAGGTGTAGCATGGTGCCTGGGAAGCTCTTTAATTAGAGCAGGCCTGTGGTGAACATGGAGACTTTCCTGCCATCTCCCACCTGGCTGGCTGTCAGGAGTACACTCTTGCTTGGTCCTTCTTACCTAGCTCACCTGCTCTGGACTCCTGGGCCTCCCAGGAAGCCCCATCAAACAGTAGTGAGAGAACCTACCCTTACGAAAGCACAGAACTTAAGATTTCAACCCTACAGAGGCTGGGCCAACACTTCCCAAGCTTTGCTCCTGGAACGCTGGTTCATGAGAGGGCAAAAGAGGTTCACGGGCAGATGAGCCTAGGCAGTGCTTACTAGAGTTTTCCATAAGTACTTCTCAGGGCCTTGTTAACTCCTCACAAGAGAGTTATAGACATTTTACAACTGATCTTATTTGATCATGCTTTTCTTCTTTTTTGTGGTATTGGAGTTTGAACTCAAGGCCTTGACTCTACCACTTGAGCCAAGTCCCCAACCTGATCATGGAATATTTTGTTGAGTAAGGATTTTAAGGGAATAATATTTTACAAAGGCCACACTTTCAGAAACCAAGATCTAAGTGGACCCTTTTCCCCCTTCACTTTCAGAATGGGGGGAGAATAAAGCTGGGTGAGAAGTGGCATGCTAAGGGTCAATGGGACCAAGCCATCACTAAGGCAACAAGAGCTCTTGTAGCTTCACTTTTTTTTTTTTTTTTTTGCAGTACTGGGGCTTGAACTCAGGGCCTACACCCTGAGCCACTCCATCAGCCCTTTATTGTGATAGGTTTTCTTGGATAGGGTCTCTCGAACTATTTGCCCAAGCTGGCTTCAAACCATGATCCTCCTGATCTTTGCCTCCTAGGATTACAGGTGTGAGCCACCAGCACCAGACTTCACCTTTCTTCTTAACGTTTGCTCTCACAGATGTCCTGTGGCTTTTCTACCTGGGAGTTTCTCCTACACTTTCCATCCCTACCTATGCTTGGGCAAACACCAGAGGGGCTGGGACAACTCTACAGTTAAGAGGTGAATCCAGGGAGAGTGATCTAGAAGCCAGTTTTTCAGAGCCTAAGGAGCCCCACTTCTACCCAGCAGGAGAAAGATGGAGCTTGTAACTAGGGACCTAGGTAGAAGACTGTAGGGGGGCCGCATTTCCAAATATGTGTGAGGATCCACGGGGTGATGACTGAGTCCTGAGATTATCCCACAGACCACAGATACAATGAGCTTCCTCATTTCTGGCCATGCTGCATGCACATCTGGATCTACCCAGGAGGCCACAGCAGGGATCAAGGGTTTGGCTTCTGCTTCTCTTCTGCCCTGGAACCTTCCCTGGGACTCTTCTACCTACCCCCTACCTTTATGGAGAGAGAGGAAGCTGAAACAGGAAGGACCTCCACAGCCCACTTATCAGATGGCAGTACCCCACAGAGTGGAATGGGGAAAGGAAGAGAAGTTCCACAAGCCAGGGGGAAATGCCAGAGGAACTTTCAAAGAAAAACTCTCTTAGCAGCCTCAGGGCCCTGAACGAACAATCAACATTCTGCATGATGTGACCTTGGCCAGACTACAAGTCCTATTTGGACCTCAGTCCCCTCAATAAAAAAGCGGTGAAGTAGATGTGCTCTGAAGAACTCTACCACTACCCTGACCTAAGTTCCACAGTGGGGTGGATGGCTTTCCTTCCAGGGAGCTAAACTTTCTTGTCTATCTGCTCTTTGGAACTATAAGTGCACTGGGAGTCAGGCTGTGGTTGGTTCTTGAGTCAGTTTAGGCAAATGGAGTGATCCTACCTATAAGAATTCCAGTTCTGAGCACATCCCAGCACCCTCTCTGCCCTGCCCACTGGGATCCACTCCTCCACAGAACACTCACCGAGGCTCCTCAGGCAACATCACCTGGTCCTTCTCCCAAGTAATGACGGGGGCTGGCAGCCCCTCAATGTGGCACTCAAAGCGAGCTGTCCCATTCTCCTCCACTGTCTGAGACTCCGGGTGTTGAGAGAAGTCTGCAAGTGCTGGGGATGAGGACAGTGAGACATGGACAGGGCAGGGGGAGAAAGGCCACAGAGAGCATAGGCAGTAACACACACACACACACACACAGAGGACAGAAACAGAATCATGAAAATGAATAGCAGAGCAAGTCCAGACCAAAGGAGACACAGATGGAAAGAGAGGTGACCAAGGAATGAGAAGTGGTGATAACTGGTCAGAGGCTGTTGGCAGAATGAATTCTAATGTTCCCCTGCCCAGCATCGCCTGATGGCCTTGGTAAAGTAAGATGAATGTTTCTTCTGCCCTGAAAATGGTTTCACTATGGTCTGTGCCTCCTGTCAGCCCCTAGGGGTGAGTGGCAGGCCAACAGGGTGATGGGGAGAGTCCCTGCCCTGTGCAGGTGCAGTTTCTAAGGAGCTTTTCTGCAGGTTCCCTGGAGGACGGCACAACTCCACATTCTAGGGCAAGAAAAGGCAGAGCAGGGGGGCAGAGAGGAAGCCAGAGGAATACTGAACAGTGAGGGTGGATAATACGAGGGAGGGACCCACTGAGCAGGACAGGAGGCAGGCCAGGGGGAGTGGGTTCAAGAGGTAGGTGTTTGTGCAAGTACCCAAGTGCAGACCCCACTTCCCTCACTCCACACCTCCCAGTCCCAGACTCCAGTCCAGAGACTCAGGCACTTACTGGCAAGCTTGACCACCACAGCCTGGCTGGCCACCACTCCAAGGGGACTATGGGCTAGGCAGGAATAGCTGCCCTCCACGGCCCCCAAGGTCCCAGAGGTTTCTTCATCACTGTCTTCAGGCGCTAGAGGCTGGGACAGCCACAGGGAGCCATTGGGTAGCTGGTGCAGGTAGTCGTGCTCCAGCAGGGTGTCTCCATCCTTGCTCCATGTCACCCTCATTGGGGGTCCAGCGGCAGCAGCCCCCAGACTACAGTCCAGTATTGCAACCTGGTCTGGACCCAGGATCACCTGCAGTGGCCCCACATCACAGCTCAGCTCCACAGTTGAATCCTGGGTCAATGGCAGCTCACCTGGGAAGAGGAGGACCAGGGCAATCAGAGTAAGTCCTCCCCGAAACTGAGCCACCCTCCCAGAGACTGGGGCCAGTCACTCATGGAAAGGCTGTGTCTGGACCCAGCTCTCCCTTTGCTAACTCTGATCTGGGACAACTACTGCATTTACTTTTTTTTCTTTTTTCTTTTTTTTGGTGGTCCTGGGGTTTGAACTCAGGGCCTCATGAGTTAGGTACTCTACCACTTGAGCTAGGCAGCAACAATCCCAGACTTTTAGTTATTTTTCAGGTAGGGTCTTGCATTTTTGTCTGATCCTCTTACCTATGGCCTCCTGTAGCCGGGATGACAGGTGCACACCACCATGCCCAGCTTTTTCTGTTGAGATTGGGGGCTCACTAACTTTTTGCCCAGGCAAGCCTTGAACTGAGATCCTTCTGATCTCTATCTCCAGAGTAGCTGAGATTATAGTAGTGAGCCACCAAAGTCAGGCACAACTGCTGCCCTTCTCTGCTCCTGTCTCCCCACTGGCCAACTTCTTCACCCACAGAAAGACTCAGTTTACAATGGCATTATTCACAATAGCCAGAGAGTAGAAACAACCCACATGTTCTTCACCTGATGACTGGAAAAATACATTACTTAGCCAGCAAAAGAAAGGATACCGATGCATACTGTAATGTGGATGAACCTTGACAACTCTGTGACAAGTGAAAGACGCCAGTCACAGATGCCACATCCTGCATGATCTCACTTCCATGAAATGTCCTGAATAGGCACATCCATAAGGACAGAAAGTAGAGTAATGGTTACCAGGGACTGTGGGCAGAGAAGAATGGAGAGTGACTGCTAAATGAGCATGAGGTTTCTTTTTGGGGTGATGAAAATGTTCTAGAACTAGAGGTGGCTAAGGCTGCATGACCTTGTCAGTACACTGAAAACCTCTGACTCATACACTGTAAGCGGTGTATTCTATGGTACGTGAATTGTATCTCGATAGAAAGACAGTAATCCCTCCCTCACAGGGCCGCTGTGAGCATTCAATGAGAGGATGTGTGAGAAGACTGTAGCACTGCCTAGCACGCTGTCATTCCCTCCCCTAAAATCTAACATCATCTCTACCACTATGACCTAACCAAAAATATACCATAGGCTAGAGAAATGCTGTAGTCAGGAAACACTGAGAATGTATTAGGAGGAGTGTGTGGTGTGTGTGTACAGAGGTGTCTTTCAGGTTTGTTTGTTTTGGTAGGACTGGGGTTTGAACTCAGTGCTTTCAAAGCAACCATTCTACCACTTGAGCCATACCTCTAGCTTTATACAGATATATCTCGGATAAACAAAGATAAGTCCCAGCTGGTTTGTGAAGCCACCTGGATGAAAGAAGTCAAACTCCCCTCCTCCCCCACAACAGACAGGTAAGCAGATCCTGCTGGGAAAAGCCAAGTGCTCCAGGGGACCCCATCTGCATGGAGGAAGGGGCTGGGGTCAAGCTGGATTAGGAGCAAGCCCACAGGAGGCTCCCAGGGCTGAGTCTAGGCCCCTGGAGTCAGTGGCCTCTTCTGCACTGAGGGTTGGAAAAGCTAAGTGCTCTTCCTGCAACTAATGTCTGCAAGGCCATGCAGGAGGTAGGGTCAGTACCTGGGACTCCTGACCCAAGCCAAGGATCCCTTTCTCCCAGGGCTCTGGAACAGCCTTGCCACAAAGGGAAGAGGAGGGAACAATAGAGAGAAGGAATGCATGACAGGGCCAGTGAAGCCACAAAAGGGAATGCTTATTATCTCAGCCAACATTTCAGCAGCCCTGCCACCATTTTCATTATTCTCCCCACTGTATCTCCCACGAGCAACCTGCTGCCTCCCTGTCCCATAAAAACTCAGTGGCCCACAGTCTCTTCTTATCCTCTGGCCTGACTCCTCATTCAAGGCAGAGTGGTGTGTCCAGTAAGCCAAGAACAGAAGTGACATGAGCCCAGGTTTGGGCTGGCAGAGCCACATGGGGGCACACAAAGCAGAAGGGCTGGAGAATCGGGAACTTTCAATTCTAGTCCAGTACTGTTCCAGTCTAGCCGTGTGGCCTTGGGCCAGTCACGTCTCCTTCTGGAGCTTGGTTTACTCACAGCAAGTGACCTCTGATATTCTACAACTGCATGATTACCCACTGTCGTGAACACATACAGTCACACCTGAACAGACACCAGCTAGACACACACCCAAACTGCTAGGAACAATCTACCCTATGCACATGTACCCTGTCTCGACTACATTTGTCAACACCTGGACACATACATGTCAATGATTAGACCCCTATATGTCCCCAGGTTCTCTTCCCACAACCTTCAAAAAGGAGCAAGACTGAGGAGAAGTTCCAACTGGCTGAGACAAGGAGCCAGGAGAGAAGCAAGAACCCTGATACTCTAGTGTGAAGGATGGACAAACAGACAGGAACTGACCCAAAGCCACTGCCTCTCTCAATCCATCAGAAAAGGCTTTGAGGGACACCTCTGGCTGCACGACTGTCCTCAGCCACTCTGGTGGTCGTAAAGAGAGAGGCAGTCCTCTCACAGAGGACCCCTCACAGAGTCCCCATTCTAACCTGAGAACCAAACTGGCATTCACACCACTGCAGGCCATGGACTGCGGTGGAAGGACCATTAGGCCTTGGGGCACAGGAATGGTCTTGCTGTTTCACCTGGGTGGTCTCAGCTTCCACATGTGTAAGACGTGGATGACAGGACCCAGCCCGTGAGAATTAAACCAGATGACACGTCAGGGACCCAGCCCAGAGCCTAATGCCTAATGGAAGTCACTCCAGGAACGGAGCAGTTCTTTTTTTTTTGTTTTTTTTTTTTTGAGGTGCTGCTAGGATTGAGTTCAGGGCCAGTGCTCTACCACTGAGCCACATCTCCAACCTGGGGGCGCATTCTTGGTTTTTTTGGCAGTTCTTAGGTGTGAACTCAGAGTCTCACACTTTATGTTAGACTGGCACTCTTACCACTTGAGCCACTCTACCAGCCCCTAGGAGCTGATTCTTTAAAGGCATTTATTTCTGTAAAAGGCTGTATAACACTCATTCCTGTTCTTAACATCCGGTCCTTCTCCAAAGCTCTGGATTCCATGATTCAAACTCAGAGTTGGGGAAGGGCAAGGCTGGGCTCTCAGCCCAGTGGTTTCCAAATGCTGGGGTCTAGCCACTGAACAGTCAGCTTAGGTTTCAGGGGAAAAAAAGCCCCACAAGACATGAAACCCCGAGCTCTCTGGCAGCCTCCCTGCCCCCCTAAAGCACGTCCATCCGGGGCTTGGAAAATCCCCTGCCACGCTGAACAAACAATATGAACAGTTGGGGCCGAGCAGCTGCTGGGTTTGTCAGCAGCCTGGGCTCTGGCGGGCAGGATGGCAGCCAGAGGGGCCAGCGGCTGGCTGGGGAGACCAGAGGAGCTCCGATTCCCTTCCTGAATATTCATGGTTCAGCAGATGTCTGCCTTTCCCACCTCCAGGAGTCCAGCAAGTCAGAATACAGAAACCAACAGTGCTGGGGATGCAGAGAAAACAGGGGACCCCTCAGAAAGCAGCAGCACTGTTCCATGAGCCCAAGACCACCCATTTTAGTGGAAATGTTAGCAAAGCCTAAGGTCCTCATTCTACAGATGGGGAAACTGAGGTGAGAGGGAGGGGTCTCATCTCTCTGAGAGAGTCTGGGAGGTAAGCCCAGCACAGAGGAGATAATTGATCCCTGAACAAGTTTTCCTCTGCCTCCATGATTAGTCTCACTTCTGGGCACAGGACTTAATCCATGGGGACTCCGCCCAGATGTTAGCCCATCTGTGAGGCTGCCCTGCCAGGTGCAGTTCCTCCTAAGTCTTATACTACCTGCCCATTCTTCCTCTCACCTAGACAGACAAGATGTGGTGGGACAAGCTTTGGCCTCAGCGTCCACGACCTGGGTTCTAGGTCCAATCATTTGTTATATAACCTTGGGTCAGTTTCTTTCCTCTCTTCTTCAGTTTGCCCAAATGTCTCAAACATTTTCATCAAAATTCTCCCAACAACAGAAAACATACATATGATGCTCACTGGCTGCCTGAAATGTTTTAATTTTTAATCCTACTACATTCTGTTCCATAACAGAGCAAAGTGGTTTTTTTTGTTTATGTGGACTGGGGTTTGAACTCAGGACTTTGAGCTTGCAAAGCGGACACCCTACTGCTTGAACCACACCTCCAGTCCATTTTGCTCTGGTTATTTTGGAGATAGGGGTTTTGCAAGCTATTTGCCTGGGCTGGCCTTGAACCGAGATCCTGCCGATCTCAGCCTCCCAAAAGTTTGTTTCAATATAAAGATGATTTCTCCCCCACCATATCTTTTTGTAAAAGTGATGTTCTGGGGAGTGGACCTTGTTTTTCCAGGGGCTTCAGAGCTACCCTTCTCCTGCCACCCCCCTGCCCAAAGCCCCCACCCCCAGCATTTTTAGCCATCCCTCTCAGCACTGGGCAGACACAGCACAGGTGCCCAGTGGACACTTGTTGCATGCTAGCCTTCTGCCTCAAGGGGGCTTCCCTCTCCAACAATTCCTTCTCAATCTTTCAACAAGACCCTGCTACAGACAGAGGGCTCTCTCAGTCTCCTTTTTCTAACAGATTATTGTACTCACTTATAAAATAAATTAGATTTTATGAGGCCAATTAGAACCCAAGGCCCAGCGCAGCCTAGTGCTGTTTGGTGGGTTCAGCCAGAGCCTGTAGTAAGTTCCATTCTCTAGGGGACAGGAAAGAGGCATGTGGGTGGGGGAGGGGAGAGAGGTCAAGCACGTGCCACAGCCATGGGTGCCTTGTCACTTCTAACTTTCAGGACCTGATAGATTTATAACTTGTTTCCAGTGGAAGGACAATTCTTCCTGACACCAGGGGACACTAGTCAATTTCTTCCAGAACTTGGCCACTCTCTTATAGCACACTGAATCCCTCCCTCCAACAGCTGGAGGGACAGTAGGGATGGCTGTGGTTGCCAAGGACACAGAAGGGCCTCAGGCATGCCTCCTCCCATGCAATCCCAAGGGGGCAAGCCTCAGCCCTGCGGTGTAACCTCAGAGACACAACAGCTTGACCTGCTCCCTCCCACCCCACCCACATCTAGCAAATGACTCCCAGTTCTCTGAAGGCACCTGGCTGGCTAAATCACATGCAGCAGCCCTGCTCCTCTCCCATCTGATTTAGAAGTCTCTCCTTCTTACACCCCCCAGGATCACTGCACCTAGGTCACTGCAGTTATCACTCTAGTCTTTTGTCTTGCCCTTCTCCCCACCTATGCAGCAAACTGTTGAGATTATGTCCTAGTCAGCTTTCTAAATCCTTAGTGCCTAGAACAGTGCCTAGCACACTGTCTGGGTGCTCAATAAATATTCCTTGAATGGCTGGGTGGACATGTAGTGATACAAAACTGAGCTCAGTGGTACATGTCTGTAAACCCCACACTCAGGAAGCTGAGTTGGGAGGATCTTGAGTTCAAGACCAACCTGGGCTATACACTGAGATGCTGTCTCAAAAAATCAAACAAAACAAAAAACACAGAGCCCCTTTTCCAAGTCTGTTTCCTTTGTGTAAAAAACAGAAACTCCTTTAGGCTGCAGGTGAAGTCAATAATACACAGAGATGGACCAGTAAGACACTAACACAACAGGGAGGGAAGGAAGGAAGGGAGGGACAGAGGGCCACCTAAACGTTACCAGGACAGGAGCTCCTTACCTTGCCTGTTCTCCTGTGTGGCTCATTGGTTAAAAACACCTTTCCTCTGCGCCCACTTGTCTCCCCATATGCTCTGCTCAGATCTCTGAACTCTGTCCTCCAAGCTATGTGACAAGGTTAAGGAGCCCCTTATTGAATCATCCAGGAATCTTGGGTCTGCACCCCAGGGACAGCTTATTGATCCTTGGCTTCCCTGACCCCAACAACCTCATGGTCCTCTAAATCCAGATGCTCAGCTGCAGCAGGGGGCAGCATTAGCCAGCAGCATGGCTGGTGCAGAGGACAGCACGTGGGGCCCAGGACCAACTCTCTGGTTTTCCTTCCTGGCCCCTAGCTCCCATCACCCTCCTCTGACCAGGTTGGGGTCCTCTTCCTCAGAGCCATTTCTGCTCCTCCCCTTGCTCCCCTGGGAACTGGGAGCCCCGTGGCAACAGCATCTGTTCTGCATCTGGAATTCTGTATCAAGCTGGAGTGCTGTACCTTAGAGACTGGAGGGGATAGAAGGCAGATGGAATGGGGGGGGATCCCAAATAGACTCACTGAGGGGGTGAGGGCCTCAAGCTGCTAAGATCTCATGTGGAAGACAGACATGCAGAGAGGGTGAACTTGTACAAAATCCCTGGAATGGTGGCTGTCCAAGCCTTGTAAGTGCAATGTCCAAGAGCTAGAGGCTGATTCTAGCCCCAGTTCAGTCCCTAACCATGTAACTGGGGGAAGTCACTCAATTTTCTCATCTGTAAAATGAACTCATGCTAAAATTATTTCTACATTTCTTTCAATGCTCACATTCCAAGATACTGTAATTGTGAGACCCATTAACTCACAAGAGATACATTTAGGAGAAAAGAGGAAATGCTAACTTAGCATATAAATGTGTGATTAATGAGACCATAAAAATATATACATGATTAGTGAAGGTTTAGATAACTTCTGGATAAGATTCACAATTGAGAAAAGCTGGAGGGCCAGGCACCAGTGGCTCATCTCTGTAATCCTAGCTACTCAGGAGGCAGAGATTGGGAGGACCATGGGAAGACAGCCTGGGTGAACAGTTTGTGAGATCCTATAACGAAAAAACTCAACACAAAACAGAGCTGGTGGAGTGGCTCAAGTGGTAGAATGCCCACCTAGCACTCGTGAGGCCAAGTTCAAACCCCAGTGCCTACAAAAAAAAAAACAAAACAAAACCTGGAGGTGTAGCTCAAGTGGTCAAACCCTTTTGCAAGGCCCTGAGTTCAAACTCCAGCACTGCAAAAAGAAAGAAAGAAAAGCTCCCAATGTTTGACCTGGCTCTTAACTGGGTCAGAGAAGACCCCCTCCCCAGCTTGGCCTCTGAGGCTCTGGACTGAGAGGGAAGGAGGCTTCCTAGGCTTACTCACACTCTAAATTTCCACCTGGGTGGAAGGGGAGCCCCACTTCTTACATGTGACTGAAGAGTTCAGCTTTCCACAAGTGCCCTCAGACAGGAGTCCCACTCCCGTAAAATGTCTTCACAGGGCTCAATGCTAGGGGAGCAGGCAGGCACTGGCTTTGTCCTGACCCTAGAAACTAGTCCCCTGGCCACTCCAACTGCTACCACACTAGCTGCCACCTTCTGGATTACTACCACAGCCTCCTAAGGACCTGGTGTTTCCTGTCACTAGCTTTGGCCAATCGATTCTTCACACTGGCTGCAGGGAGCTGATGCAAGACTGGTCTTAAAACCCACCCAGGGCAGGCGGCAGGGCTGAGCAGGGCAAGGGGCTCTTGGGCAGAAATCTTGGGCAGGCTGACTATCTCTTCCCCAGCTGGGTCTAGCCCCCTCTTTGGCCTCATCTCTTGACACTCCACAATCTATGGTCCATCCCTTCCTCACCTGTCCAACTCCTACCCCCTGTACCTTAAAGTTTAGCCAGCTTTAGCTTCACTCAACCAACTAATTCACCCCAGTGTTAGCACAAGCTGTTCTCTCTAGAACTTTCCCCATCATCACTCTCCTTCTACAGGACTGCTCCCATGCCATGTTTTTTTAATCCTATTATCACCGTTTTATCCAGGGAGCCTTTCCTGATCTCAGACTGGCTCAGGAATCCCTCTTCTGCAGGGTACTTATTGGTAACACCCCCCCCCACACACACACACACATACTCTAAGACTGCAAACTTAGTGCCAGGTGGGATCTGCCTCCTTACTTGCCACATTGTCACCACCAGGCCCATGCTGGTCCAGCTCAGGATGACCATTGAGAACTCTCCAGGAGTGTTCCCAGGCCTGCAGAGCTTAGCACACTTACAAGAGGTAAGCCAGGGTGAGCACAGTAGTTGCTGTAGCCATTCGCAGGGCAGCCAGAAGGAGCCCCAGTTCCGGCCCTCCACCGTCTTGTGCCTTGTGCACTCAGGAGCCCCTTGCCAGAGGCCCCGATCGTGTTTGTTAAGGCGCGCGGATGCAGTTCCCAGCCCTGGTCCCGCTTTGCTGGGTGACACTGGGCTCGTTCCAGGAGCTTTTGGAAGAACGGAGGGGGGAGGGGGAGGCACAACTATTCCTTAATCCCTCGGGCTCCGAGTGGACACAGCCTCTCGGACGCTTCTCCGCCCCTTTCACCTGACCACTTTGGGGCCCCCAGTTCTCCAGGCAGCCCAGGCCGCAGTCAGGTCTGGAAAGGGGCGTGTCTTGCACGGAAAAAGGGGGTCTGAGCAGTTCCCAGCACTGTCCCACCCGCTGTTTTCCTGGAGATGGGCCTGGGGCTGGCCAGGCGGAGGCTCCTTCCCCTCACCGCCCTCCCTGCCTCCCTCCCACGTGGCCTGGCTGTGTCTCTGGAAAGCCGCAGCAGCTGGAGAGAAATCCCCCTCCCCACCCCCACCGCCAAGTCCCTCCCTGACTCGCCCGGGACACATCCTCAGCTCCCCCCTCGCCGGGAAGGCAAGAACTAAGCGAACAAAGCGGGCAGCCCATCCCCCTCCCTGCCCGGCCACCTACCCTCCCGGGGGCCGCCCCGCAAACGCACACCCGACCGAAAGCCAGAGGGCTGGGGTAGGAGCAGCCCTGGTGGACACCCTTGGGGACTCCATCACTCCCTCTCCAGCCCTTTCTCCTGCGTGGACAGCTCTGACTCTTACCCCTGCCCCAACCTCGCACTGGGGTGAGGGACAGGAGGTGGTCTCGTTGATCTCGTGCACGCAACCCCTGTGGCTCTTGGGGGTGGGGCAGAAGTGACATGCTTCCCAACCTGGGAGTGTTGGACACCTTCACCAAAGCAACTGGTTTCCTGCCCCCTCCCCCAGCCCACTAGGGACCACGGGTTTGGGGGACACCTCCACACACCCCAAGCGCCACCTGCCCCAGGGGCCACACCCACTGGGCAAAGTTGAGTGTTGTTTTCTTATCGGCACCCCCCCCCAGCCAACCCAGAATCTCCCGCCGTCCCCGCCACGGGCAAGGACTCTCCCCAAAAGCCAAGGCCAAATACCAGCTCAGCCCCACAAACAGTTACACACGCACCCGGCACGAATGGAGGTGCGGGCACACACTCCCAGCCCCCTCCTCTTCCACATACTCTCAACCCCGAGACACGCGCGGGCCAGGCGGAGCTCCGACCCCGCAGCCCCCCGCGCCAGCGATGCCACGCCGCGACCGTGGCACGCACTGCGGACCCGTCCGCCCTCAGGCGCCCCCCACACCCCCCCAGCCACACACACACACACACACGACTGCGGACTCTGCAAGCCAAGGACAACTCCCCCTGCGGACGAGGATGCGCGGCAAACGCCCCCCGGCCGCAGCCCGCCGCCCGCAGCCCCGCGCTCCCGCGGGACCGGGGACACACGCCAGCCCCGCAGCCCCGCGCAGTCTCGGGGCGCGGGCGCACCGACACTCCGCAGCCGCTCCCGCCACCGCCGCGGCTCCCGCCCGCCCTTACCGCGCGCGGCCAGCAGGCACAAGGTCAGCGCGAGGAGCCCGCGGCCGCGGCCAGCGTCCCCCCGCGCCATGGGGCCGGGCTCCGGCCGCCGCCGCCGCCGCCACTCCCCGCGCTCGGCCGCCGCCGCGGGGGAGGGCGCGCCGGGCGGGCGTCAGTGGCCCGGGGAGGCGCGGCGCCGCGGGCGGGGGCGGGGCGCGGCCTCGGGGGCCCGGGCCCGAGCGGGGGCCGGCGCGGGGGCCGGGGACGCGGCCGCCTCTCCCGCCCCTCCATCGCCATCTTGGGCGAGCGGCCCGGGCGGGGGCGCCCAACGAGTGCCCCGCTCCCGCGCCACCGCCCGAAAGCCTCGCCCTCTCCGGCCGCCTCGGGGCCCCTCTTGGGCCGCTTGGTTCTGTGTCTGTCTCGTGTCTCCGAGTCTCCAGGTCTCTCTGCCTCGGTGTCTCCATTTCTTCTCCCTGTCGCTGCCTCGGAGTCTCATCCAGCTCGGTGGAGGCAAATTCAAGTTCAAGGGCGCTGACCAGGGGGCCCCTCTTGCCACCTGAGCCCTGGCCATTCTGGCTCAGGTCGTGGTCTGAATGCTGCACCAAGAGACGCATGGAGGCCGTGACAGGTCCCACTTCATCCCCATTGCCATTGCCATTCCAAGCCGAGGGCTTCTCTTGACCTCCTTCCTCGCTCTTGCAGGGCATTCCCTCTGTCTACCACAGTCAGTACTGTATCCAGACCTCACTGCAACCCTGGGAGGGTGTTTACATGTGGGGAAACTGAGGCTTGGGGAGGTGAAGGGACTTGCTTAAGGGCAGGAGGCTAGGGAAGAACAGATGCAGGACCTGAACGTGGTGTTGGGACCCCAGGAGAGAGTCTCCACTCCTTCATTCTGCCTGTGCTGTCCAGCATTCACTCAACTATTCTTTTTTCCATTCTTCAACCATACTTTCTCTAATTGGTCTAGCCAGACTGGTTGCCTCAGTATCCCACAAATATTTCTTGTCCTAGAGCTAGGGATTCGGTTGTCAGGTTAGGATGGGGAAGAGGAGTGTGTATTAGCTGTAAGATGACATGGTTTTTCTATTACCTGTGTCTCCAAGTAATCCAGTGTCTTAAGAGTCATTTTGTGACTGCATCATCTGTTGCCAGTTAATCTTACTATGCATGTACCTTACAGATCTAATGGGACCTGGCATTTCTCCTCCTTCTTCTTTTCCTCTTTTTCTTCTTCTCCTTGTCCTTCTCCTTCTCCTCCTCCTCCTTCTCCTCCTCCTTCCTCCTTCCTTTCTTCCTTTCTTTCTTTTTTCTTCTTCTTCTTCTCTGAACTCAGCAGCAGCATTTGACTTAGTGGACCACTCCTCTGTTCTTGAAACACTGTCTTTTTAGTGATTTTTTTTTTTTCTTTTTGGTGGTATGGGTTTTGAATGCAGGGCCTCACACTTGCCAGGCAGGTACCACTTGAGCCACTCAAAGTGGCTTATCTTAGTGATCTTTTCTAGTCATCAAGGTTTTGAAGAGGGTCTTTACTCTGGTGATGCTGAAACGTGCACCTCCAGTCTGGACCGTCTCCCCCAAACGCCAGACTTGCACATCCAGCTCTCTGCTCAGCAGTTCCTTTAGCCATTAGTTGACCAACGTCCTGATCTTCCCATCAGTTCTCCTCCTACCTTCTTCCCCATCTCATTCCTAGCATCCTTCCTGTAGCTTAGGTCAAAAATGTGCAATCATCATCTTGACTCTGCTTTTGGATCTGTCACTCTCCATTTCCCACCACGCCTAGGTCCAAGCCCCCTGGCTGCTTACCTGGATTGGTGCAGTAGCCGCCTGTCTCCTGGTTTCTGCACCTGTCCCCCCTTTAGTCTTTTCTCAATACTGCATCTGGAGCAATCCTGTAAAAATGAGGTCATGTCTCTGCTCCTAGCTCAGAGCCAAAGCCCACGTCCTCATGACCCATAGGCCTATCCAATCTGATCTGCAGCTTTGTTTTCCCTCTGACCTTCACTCCTTAACTCACCACCCCCCAGCCACACTAGTCTCCTTGCTTGAACTTGGTCGTGGCCATGACCTTTTCCCAGCCAGTGCAAGTCTGGAGATCTGTGCCCCCAATAAGATATTGCCAAGGTGCCTCCAGCACCTCCCTACTCTCCCCATCCCCTCCCCTGCCCCATTCTTGTCCTCCCACTTAGCACTTTCTAACATGTTCTCTGCTTTACTTATTCTATTTAGAACCCCCTACCCCCACTCCAGTGTGGGCTTCATGAGGACAGGGATTTTTGCTTGCTAGGTTCACTGCTAACATGTAAGCATTTAGACTAGTATCCCCACCGTGCAGGGGCCAGGGTAAAAGATACAAGTCACTGCTTACAGGGACAAGAGGTCCTAAGTGGCCGGAGGTGGCAGGGAGGTTGGGGGCAGAGGAGGGGTTGGCTCTTGGCCAAGAGGAGGAAGGTGCCATCATTCATTGATCATGCTTACTGTGAATGTTTGCTATGACAGTGAAGGAGGTAGAGCTGACAGATGTGACAGAAGACCCACCCTCTGCAGAGCCCCTGCACTGAGAGCACGGGAAGCTTCAGGAGGTGGCAGAGGCAGTGTGGCAGGCTGTGATGGGGCTCAGGGAGGCAGAGCCCTCAGGCCACACTTGGGGAGCAGGGAAGGGTTCCCGAGGAAGCCCTGGGCAAGAGTGCAGGAGGTGTGAACTGGGCAAGAGGGAAGGCACAAAGCATGTAGCCAACCAGGGGAGCAGTTGGTGATTTAACTGTCAGATGAATGTGCAAACAGGAGGTCACCATAGAAAGATGAATTCCACAAGCCACCCAGTCAGTTAATGTTTCTATTCGTACCTCAGTATTGGGCTGGGGTGTAGCTCAGGGATGGGGTATGTACAGGGTCATAGGTTCAACCCCCCAGTGTCAGCATGTAGGCTGTGGGTGGGGTAGGTGTGAGATGAGGGGGATGGAGAGACAGGCTTGGGCCAGCCAAGCCCAGTACAAAGAACAAGAGCCATGGTCTTGTTCCACCTCTGATGGAGACCTGCTGTGTGACCTTGGGCAGCTAATCTCTCTTTGGCCTCACCTTCATCATTGAGAAAATTAAGAGGGCTGGGGTAAAATGCCCACTTCTAAGCAGAGGTTCCAAAAAGTTCATATCATTAAAAGTTGATATAGCATCTGTTTTAATCAATCAACAATATTTTCTATTATTTTTTTCCCTTTTCAAATGGTACTATGGAAGGCTGAGCACCTATAATCTTAGATATTCAGAAGGCAGAGATTGGGATGATCCAGGCTTGATGCAAGCTCAGACAAAAAGTTATCAAGACCCTATTTCAATCAATAAGCCAGGTGTGGTGGTGCACATCTGTAATCCCAGTTACTTGGGAAATGTAGATAGGAGGATCATGGTCCCAAGTCAGACCTGGGCAAAAACTCAAAAGCCTATTGAAAAAATAACCTAAAGCAAAAAGGGACTGGGGAGTGACTCAAATGGTAGCGCAAGTCTGAGGCTCTGAGTTCAAACCCCAGTACCGCCAAAGAAAATAAATAAAAATGGTACCTTGGAAAGCCTTCAAGTGTATTTGAGGTGTTCTAGAGGTCAGTGAAGGGCCCAGGAATGCTCAGGCAAACACCATTAACCACTTCATGTCTTTTTTATTGTTCAGAACTTGAAACTTGTCAGTCTCAGGTATTCAGATATTGCTTTAAAAATAGCCATGTTGAACCTTGAGACGTATGTGACAGGAGGAATGAGAGGCCCTGACGCTGGACTGCAGTAGCCTGATGCAAAGGACAAAATAACAGTGCAGGTTTGCATCATCTCGCCCTTGTCAGAGAAGAATGTTACAGTCTTCTAATCAAAAGTCACCAGCCAGGCTGGGGTGCAGCTCAGTGGTAGAGTGCTTGCCTAGCATGCATGAGGCCCTGGGTCTCAGTGCCATGGAAAAAAGTCATTAGTTGCTAGGCACAGTGGCTTAGCTGGTCCCAGCTACTCAGGAAGCTAAGACAGAAGGATTACCTGGGCCCAGGAGTTCAAGGTCAGCCTGGGCAACATAGCCAGATTCCAGGAAAAGTAGATGAAAGAATCCACCACCATAGTGGTTTTAAAACATGTCTACAAGTTCTTCGACACGCTTTCCTTCAAGAAATGGAGTCTGATTTGCTTCCCTTTGAACCTAGGTCAGTCGCAGTGACTTGTTTTATTTTATTATTATTTGGCAGTACTTAGATTTGAACTCAGAGCCATGCCCTTGTTGGGTAGGTGCTCTCCCACTCTACCCCCAGCCCAGTGACTTCATTTCTTTTTATCTTTCTTCTTTCTTCTTCTTTTTTTTTTTTTCAGTGCTGGGGTTTGAACTCAGGACCTACACCTTGAGCCACTCCACTAGCCCTATTTTTGTGATTTTTTTTTTTTTTTCGAGATAGGGTCTTATGAACAATTTGCCTGGGCTAGCTTCAAACCTCGATCCTTCTGATCTCTGCTTCCTGAGTGGCTAGCCTGGCGAGTGACTTCATTTTAAAGGACAGAGCGTGGTGGAAGTGACGCTGCCTGTCTTCTACAATTCATTACAAAGGGATGTGGCTCTTGCCTGGCCTTTTAGGGGAGAAGCACCTTCGTATCCCTGAGCCACTGTGCAAGCAGTCTGACCACTTTGTGGCTACCATGCTCAAGAGACCCTGTGGGGTGGCTATGTGGAGATAGAGAGTGTGGCGGAGCCCCAGTTGTGCCAGTCCCCAGCTGTTTGAGTCTTTTCAGCACAGGAGCCAAACACGTAAGTGAGGAAGGTGTCCCCAGTGCCTCACCCCAGCCTCTGCATGACCACAGGGACCCTGTGCCCAGATAATCCCCAGAATTGTGAGCAACAGCCATAATAACGCCATTATAACTGCTCACTGCCTTGCCATTCATCCCTCCCTTTTTTTTCTGGTGTTGGGGTTTGAACTCAGGGCCTATGCTTATTAGGCAGGTGCTCTACCACTTGAGCCACTCCACCAGCCCTGTTTGGGTTTTTTTTGAGATAGGGTCTTGAACTGTTTGCCTGGCCTGGCTTCAAACCTCGATCCTCCAGATCTCTGCCTCCTGAGTAGCTAGAATTACAGGTGTGAGCCACCAGCACCTAGCTCA